ATAATTTGAATTGCTCTGTAAGTTGATTGTCAGTAAATTTTGATTTTTTTATGGAAAAAGAATGCGAAAATATTGAATAAAATTATAGAAGATTTCTTAATTAAAGTTTGTTTCATTTTTAATTCACAATATTACTAAAATATTAATAAAAATCAAGAAAATTCCCAACTCAACACTTTGACAATCAAATCGCTTCTGACTTGCGATAATTTTTCTCTCATTTTCTGATTTTTTTCTCTCGTCCACGCGAATTATCTAAGCGAGCACATGTGTAAAGTTGAATTTATTTTGCGCGATTCAGTAATGGTTAATACACCAAACAGTAACGTTTGGAAGTGTAAGCAGCAGACAAGAAAATAATGTCAAAAAATCAGACACTTTTATTATTTTTGTTTGGTGTGCTGATAGGCTTCTGCTTATCAGTTGTGGTTTTATACCCTAAAAAGCTTAGTTTTGCAATATCGAATAATGCTTATGCAAAAAAAGGTGAAAGAATCGTGTTTCAGTCAAAGTATAATGAAGATCTTGCTGATAAAGTTTTCAATGACGTTAAACTTTTATGTTGGATTATGACAACACCAGAAAATCATCAAAAGAAGGCAATTCATGTGAAAAATACTTGGGGAAAAAGATGCAACAAGCTCTTGTTTATGAGTAGTGTAGAAGATGTCGAAATCGGAAGTGTAGCATTGCCAATCAAGGAAGGTCGATCAACATTATGGGACAAAACAAAACATGCATTTAAATACATTTACGATCATCATTTCGACGAAGCTGATTGGTTTCTGAAAGCTGACGACGACAAGTAAATTATTGATAAAATTTCGTGTCAAAAAATGTTTAATTTAATTTGATTATCAGTTACATGTTTCCTGAAAACATTCGTTACATGTTATCACAATATCGACCACAAACTGCCTTCTACTTCGGACATCGTTATGCTACGGAACATGTGGAAGAAGGTTACATGGCTGGTGGTGGTTACATTCTTTCCAAAAAAGCTGTCGAGAAATTTGTCACTCAAATTATGATGAACAAAACTATTTGCAGCAGTAGAGATTCAGGAGCTGAAGATCTTGAAATGGGAAGATGTCTGCAGCATTCAACAATCTTCGTAGATGAACGTGATGAGAATAATCAAAAAAGATTCTTTCCAGCTGGAATAAGAGATCATTTAAAGAAGAAAGTTGATCTTACGTATTGGTATGATTATAGTCGATACTATGAAGTAGCACAAGGAAGCTTAGAATGTTGTTCTGACCTTCCTGCGGGTTTCCATTATGTGAATCCTAACGAAATGTATTTTATCGATTATCTTGTTCGTCGAGTTCATCCTTTTGGACTCTTAAGGAACAATTCAGAAACACTTCCAAGAAAATTAAAATTAAAAGAAATTCTCAGAGCTTCTGATCAAGAAAGTCCATCAATTAAATTTAAAAAGCACAACATTATTCATATTTTAGAAGAGTCAGAGAAATATGTGAAGAAATAAATTAATTTTATTGTTGATAAGACTTTAACTTTCTGAATTAAGATAGTGGATATCGATAAACGACTACAATAGTGATAGACACAAAACATCTGTTTAAATAATGCTAAACTCATTTCAATGTGTTGATGAAAATTATTTTAAATGTAGTTCGATTAGTAGTTGTTTCGGTATGTCGAAAAGGGGAACAATATTTCTAATAATTGGAATCATCGGTGGATTTTTAAATTTTTATGTGATATTTAAATGTTTATTTAAAATACAAAATCAATTTGCTTCCCGAAATCATCCACACTATGAATATAACTTAGAATATAATGAAACAATTTCTAAGAAATTGTTCAAGGAAGTCAGAATTTTATGCATGATTCTGACACATCCTGAAAATCACGATTCTCAAGCAATAACTGTTAAAAGAACTTGGGGAAGACGTTGCAACAAAATAGTTTTTATAAGCACAGAAGAGGATAAAAGAATTGGATCAATTGCTGTTGATGTTGAAGAAGGAAGAACGATGCTTTGGGATAAAACAAAAAAAGGGTTAAAATATGTTTACGATCATCATTTTGATGAAGCTGATTGGTTTATGAAAGCCGATGACGATACGTAAGATGAATTAAATTTCTTTCCTATTCTTGTGAATTAATTATATGTTAATTAAAGTTATGTATTGATGGAAAATCTTCGTTACATGTTGTATCAATATCGTTCTCAAACCGCACTTTACTTTGGTCATCGCTTCACACACGGTTATATGGCGGGAGGTGCTTACGTTCTTTCAAAAAAGACCCTTGAGAAGTTTATTACTCGACAACTAACAGATCCATCAGCTTGTAAGCAAGAAGGAGCTGGAGCTGAAGATTGGGAGTTGGGGAAATGCATCGCGACTCATTCAATTCTTGTTGATGAACGTGACGATCAAAAGCAGAAAAGATTTTTTCCTGTCAGTTTATTACAGCATGTTCAGGAAAACAAAGATCTTACTTATTGGTATTACACTTCGCAATTTTATGAAGTCGAACAAGGAAGTTTAAATTGCTGTTCAGCACTTCCAATAGCATTTCATTACATTAATTGTCATGAAATGTACTTAGTCGAATATCTGACAAGAAAAGTGCATCCGTTTGGCATTCATTCGACTATTGACTTAACTCTGCCTCGAAAACTAACTTTTGAAGAAATACTTTCCGCTTCTGATATTAACAGTACTGCTATCCAATATCAATATAGAAAAGTTGAGCATAATTTTGATAAGAATGAAAAATTTCGAAGAAAATAAAATTTTATATGTTTAGAAAATAATTTTAAAAAGAAGTTTTTTTTGTTAATTGTTGCTTTAATATTGCTAAAGTAATTAAATATTTTTTTATCTAAATATAGTCAAATGTAAGCAAATATCTCAACGCGAATAACTATAATCTGCATAAACACAAAAATAATGTGCAAACGCCATTTCTGAGACACCCAAAAAATTGTGTCAAATTTCGAGACAAATTTTCTGTCTCTCATTAGTTGAATACTTAAATTCATTTCATAAGCAGTAGAAATTAACTTCTACACAGTAGTTTTTAATTTCTACTCAAAGTGTGTGTGAATTGCTTGGAGTATTTAATTCTGTGTCTCCATTTGCTTAGCTGTAGTCTTATAATGTCTCGAAAACAATTCTTCTATTTTGTCATAGGTTTTCTTATGAGTTTCATAAGTATTTTCTCACAATTTATTTGCTTTTCGAATTTAAAAAAGTCTGATAAGCCAAAAATCTTCGCTAAGAATAGTGATGTGATGTACGATAAAAGTTTTGCAAATAAAATGTTTAAAGAAGTGAAAATATTATGTATGGTCATGACACATCCAGCTAACCATAGAACTAAAGCAATTCATGTGAAAAATACTTGGGGAAAATATTGTAACAAACTTATTTTCATGAGCACCATTCGCGATGTTGATCTGGAATCAGTTGCATTGCCTGTTAGAGATGGCAGAGAATTTTTGTGGAACAAAACTAAAAACGCTTTCAAATACGTTTTTGATAATCATTACAATGATGCTGATTGGTTTATTAAAGCCGATGATGACACGTAAGATGAAGAAATTTTCCTCCGAAAGTGATTAATTAAAAGTAAAAATAATTTTTAGTTACATGATTCCTGAAAATATTCGATTTATGTTGTATCAATATCGAGCCACAACCTCACTTTACTTTGGTCATCGATTTTGTCATTGGAAGAATCCTTCTGGGTACATACAAGGTGGTGCATACATTCTTTCAAAGAAAGCTTTGGAAAAGTTTGTAACAAAGTTAATGAACAATGAAAGTTATTGTAAATTAGGTCCAGAAGGTGACGAAGATGTTGAAATTGGAAAATGTTTCCGTCACACTGCAATTTCTGTTGACGAACGAGATGAGAAACATCAAAAGCGTTTCTTTCATGTTGGAATTGCAGATCATGTTAAGAAGGAGAAAGATTTGGGCTATTGGTATGATGTGTCACAATATTTTGAAGTGGCTCAAGGAAGTCTCGATTGTTGTTCCGATTTGCCTGTTTCATATCATTATGCAACACCTCAAGAACTTTATTTTCTGGACTATTTAATTAGACATGTTCATCCTTTTGGTTTGGAGAAATCTCAAACACAAAAGTTACCCAGAAAGTATAGCTTAGATGAGATAATAAAAGCATCCGACGCTGATAGTTCAGCTGCAAATTTCGAGAGCTATTCTATCAATCATGAACTTGAAGACTCAGAAAAATATTAAGTGAGAAGAAAATGAATTAATTTTATATATTTTTTTATTATTTATTTATTAATTTTGTTCGATCAATGAACATTCAATGTTGCTTTCAATGAATTTCTAAAAAATAAAATTTAGAACTTTATACTTTGTTTCATCTACGTTTACATAGCTTTTTTATCTATAATGCGCACCACATTCATTGATTTCATTGCACAAGGTTAATGATGCAAAATAATTAATAAATCTTTACAATCTTTCCTCAATCTTTGCTACCTTCCAATAGTAAGTTTGCATTTCTTATCCATCGCACTAAAGAACTTGGTAGTAGTTTCAATGCGTAAAAATATTTCAAAATTTTCTCTATTTTCAAGATAATTATTGGGAAATTATTTTATTATTTTATGCTTTTGTTTTTATAGAAAAAGAAGATTTACCAATTCATGAGATTCTATGCAAAAGTTTTGTATTGTTAGAAATTCAAAACTGAAAACTTTAAATCATTACATTTAACTACATTTAAAGCATTCTCTTAAGACTCGGTTTTAAATTCACTGACAACATTTTAATTCATTTAAACTTTAAAGAGATTTATGTTTAATTTAATTTTTTGTTCTTAGTTTTCATTCTTTGTTCTGCAAATTTCTAGAACTTTTAATTATATTTTATAAAAATTACAATCTCCATCTCTTTTAATTTTCTTTAATTTCACCTACGACCGACCAGCTTAAACTTCTTGATCGAACAAAAATGGCGATCTTCGAGGTTTCTTCCTGTTTTCAGTTTGGATTGGATATAATATTAAGTAGTTTAACTATTGAGTAATTCTGGGTTAAGTTGTTGTTTATTCAGATTAATTAATTATATTGTTCTCATAAATTTTATTCTTTTGTTGATTTGGATTAGAAAAAGGAAAACAAAACAAAACATTTTTGATGTTTGCGTTTTCATTTTTTCTTACAAAGAGAATTGAAAGTTTTTTTTCTGTTTTGTTTGCTCTTTTATCAGTTTAAAGATCTTTAAATAAATGCTAGCACTCGATACTGATTATTGATCTTGATTCAAAGAAATAAATAATAAATAAATGAAAGCATAAAATATTTAATAAATAAATTTTGTATACAGCCTAAGCAGCAAATTTCTTTGGTCATCAAACAGCTAAAGCATTTTTTTAATTCATATAAATCGAGGATCGAAAAAGGAATCAAAAATTTCTCAAATAAATAAAAAACAAAAAATCTTAATTAGATATTCTTTGGGTAATAAATAATTATTCGTTTTTTGGAGTATCAAGTTTTTCTGTGTTTATATCATTTCAAATGATTTGGACGATTCAATTTTGTTATAAATTCATTTCTTTGGAAACAAAAACGAGAATTTATAAAGAGATTAAAGCAGTGCAAACCTGTCATAAATCAGGAGAAGTCTGGGAAATGACAGGGAAACACCGACTGATGCTTAGAACTTTCTTGTTCATCATTGATGAGTTTTCTTGTCTCAAACATATTCATCAAAACTATTTTATGTATATTTAATCCTCACTGATTGCTACTTATTAACTAAGATATTCTTCTTTTTTTTTCTTCATAGACTTTTATAAACTTTTTTTTTATTTTTTTTACACAATCTTGAAATTTTCTTCAACTTTTAATTTTAATCTTTTTGCAAAGCACGTGATTAAATTTAATTTTAAAACATTTCTTCTTCTGTCTTACACTTGCATCAAAGTTGAATGACAAGTGACGTCATTAGATGATATTTTTTATAATATCATAGAAATAGGACAATTTTTTGTTTTCTGGTTTAGCATGTAATGTGAGTTTTGTATATTTGAAAGAAATAAGTTATGAATTAATGACTAGAGAATGACCGACTTAAAGCAAAATGACTTTACTTAAATATCATTCAATATTTGCTTGCTTTCTTTCACAAAAAAAATTTGATTTCATTCACAAATGTTTGTTTGTTTTCATTTCAATTGATGATAATGCATGAATGGTAGTTACATGAATAGAAGCGCCAGCACGTCTGACTAATCACTTTGAATAAAGAAACAAAATTAAAAGCTTCACGATATAATTTTTTTGTCATGGAAATCAGAGAGCGCATGAAAAGACAATTATCATAGTTAAATATTAATATTATTATTTGTTTTTTAATTTTTTTTATATTAAGAGTCCATAGTCAGCATCATATGCTGCTATTCATGTTCCATTTCCATCATCATCTTTACTTGCATTGAAAGTATTAGTAGCGCCGTCAAGCCTACGCACATTTTTCGCTCCTAACTCACCCATCACGAATCGTGACGATGGTGAAACTGACTCTGAACCAAAATATCTTCGATCACTGGTTTTACGACGACTCTCACACTTTTCAAGCAATTTTTCCAATTCATTATCACATTTTGCTTTAAATTTACGTAAATTATTCTGAAATTGTATTTTACTGTCCTCTACGCTCGTGTCAGATGAGTTGTGTTCATTGTCGTTAAGCTGTGGATGTTGTTGCGCTTGTTGTCGACCGTTTGGCTGTGCACTCAATAAGTGCGATGGGATTCCACGAGTTCTATAAACATAACATTAAAAATTGTTCGGTTATTTATATTCATTTCAACAAAATCACGGGATATTAAACTGAAAGCATTTCTTTCTTTTTTCTTTTTGAATTAATTTTCTTTCGAGAAATTTTCACTACTAATTCATTTTACATGCAGGTGGTGTTAAGTATTTCGTCATTCGAAGCTAGGAGTCAACAACATTGTTGAGATATTATGTTCGTGTTTAAGAAACATTCGCAAATTACGTTTATCCACTTCAAATCGATATCGTTTATTATTTCATTAATGTTGTTAAGAAAATAAATGAATTATTGTTAGAACATATCTTGACAACACTTTTCAAGCTTCATTCAAGTGAATGTCACGTAATAATACAAAGGAAGGAAAGAAACGTAATCTACGAACGCTCCCTATTATTAAATTAATGGAACTTTTCGTTGTTTCCTTTGTTCAGAGTTTATTATCCGAACTGTAAACATTTACGAGGGAGGAAGCCAACACAATTCATCATGCAAAAGCTAGACGCGATATTTTATTTTCACTAAAATAAAATTTACATTGCAGACTTCATAAATCAATTCAAGCAATCCACTAAGCATGAGAAACAATTGACACAAACAATTAGAGTTATTTTGTTAGAAATAAAAGTAATGAATGAAAATAAAGATTAAGATATAAATCACAAAGCATGAATACTTGTTAAGAATAAAAACAAAGTTATTAATGTAAAACAGAAAAAGAAAATCAAGAATACATACTAATGGTATTTAAAACGTGTCTGCTTTTTTTTATATTTTCTTTTGGAAAACGAACGAAAATTATTCAATGCCAGCACTAAAATAAACAAAAATAAAGAAGAACATAATCATAATAAATAAAAGTGAAGACAAGAAAGTTTTTTTTCTCTTCCTTTCCCACACAAAAATAGAAGGTGTGAAAAAGAGTCGGCAAAAATCATTTCTGCGCTTTCCTTGAGAAGTCAAATTGACGCAACTAATAAAGTTTCAAAGTGTGTAAACACTAAAATTACAAACAAGCTTACAATAATAGCGTGTAATTAAATAAAAATTATTCTGAAATGCTTTAAGAATCGAATGAAATCTTTTTACAAGTTGAAAAATTAATCTACGTAAATTATTAATTAAAATATGAAAAGGCAATGAACATTAAATGACTTTCAAAAGATTCAATCTTAAAAGCTTTCTTGTCTGATTTGTAATTAAGGGAAATTTTGACGTTAAAAATATGTACAAGTCAATGAAGACATATAATGACACTCACCTTACGATGGGCCGGCTTTTCGGTCTCGTGAAGCGCAAATTAAGTTGTGATGGATCTGTCACATATTTTTCAGCGTTTTGTCTTCGTCGACGAAGACCTATAAGAATGAATGAACATGAAAATCAATTTTTTGAAGGTCAACATTATTGAATTGCTTACCTGGTGTCAAATCGCACATGTCTGGTCCATCTTCCGATCCAGCCCATGATGATCTTTGTGAGAGCATCCGAGTTGACCCGCTTGGATTAAATACTGGAATTCTGCTACTGCTACAAGTGCTGTTGTCTCGCAACTTTTCATTCTCATTACGATTGTCGGTTGTGCTTTCAATCTCATCATTGGCTTGAGCGCCTTCTTCGATCTTTAAATTATCACCGCTCACTACAGGAACTTTATCAACTTCATTCTCATCTCCATCTTCACCACCATCCAAAGCATCATCTGACTTATCAATTGTGATTATTTTATATTTCTGAATTTTTAAACTGTCTTCATAAACTTTTATGTCATATTTTTTCTCTTGTGGATCTTTTTTATTGATCCAAATGAATTCTTCTTCGTATTGAACATTATCCTTCTTCTCTCCACCTTCCTTTGGTTTTGAAGCGTCAACAGACGAACCACCACCACCATTTGCTGTGACAACCGCATCATAATAAACTGACTCTTCGGGATTAGGGCTTGGCTCCTTTACAGCCATTTGTTCTTTACTAAGCACGCGAATTTCAAGTCGTCCACTTATTGCGTGTTCTTCTTCTCCCACTTCTATTGGCGATTGTGGAGCTTCTTCACCCTCATTGTTATCACCAACATTCTTCTCCATAACAATACATGGATTTGAAATATAATTGTTGTTTGGCTCACTTGAGTTCGCTTGATAGTAGAATGTCGTGTCGGTTTGACGAATCTTTGGACTCATTATCTCATACTCGCCAAATGCTATGTTCGGGAGACTTTTGTATTGAAAAAGTTTTACAAAAGGCTGCACTGATGACTGCGCATTTTCATCATTGCAAATGTCACGAACACCCACATTCCGATTAACATCCATTTTGAAGATCTACAAAGAAGATAAACGATTTTTTTTTCTTTTCATATTAATGTAATCGAATGAGATTAGTTTAAGAAGCTTTTTCTTGTGTACGACATTAAGAGGGACGGAAATTCCGTAATTATTATCATCAACTCACCGTCTCATCGAATGCTGCTTGTTGTAACAGTGGAGGTTCAAGATTGTGACGTAAAATATTTCCTAACGCCGGTTCCGACCAACAATGTGGCAAATAATCTTGAATATTTGGAAAACTTTCAATGCCAGCAATGTTAAGATGACTTCTAAATTTAAAACAGAAATAAAAACGTGTAATTGTCTTAATTAACATGAAAGAAAAATTTTTATATTCACTTCTTCTTTTTAAGCTTCTGCTTAAGTGATTGATCATCTTTTCGTCCTTTATGTTGAATAAAAAATTGTTGCGTGTTATTCATGTCTTTTTGTGTTGTTGGCGCGACAGGTTGTGAAGGTGTCGTCTGCAATGATTGCGGTTGTGTGGCTGATGTTTTGATATGACCCATCTGATGATCGTGGTTATTGCTTTGTTGATGTTTACTTGAATGATGGGGCAGCGTGTGATAATGTGGATGTTGTTGCTGATGATGCTGCGAAATGTATTGGATTCTTTGATGTTCTGGACTTTGTGGTTCTTGCTTCCACTCATTGTCAGTCGTTTCTTCAGAGTCATCAAATTGTGACTTCCATTGTGATGCGAGTGTTAAGCCACCACCACCTTTGGTCATTTGTTGCAATGCTGACACATTTTCATCGTCGATTAATGCAAATTGTGTTATAGAATGATCTCGATTTGTTCCCGAGCTATTCAAACGTTGAAGGTTAACACTTGAACCAGAATTCGGTCGATGACGTCGTTGATTCTTTCGTCCCTCATTGCTTGACACAATTTTTACATCATATTGGAATGGTTGGTTATCATTGTCGCGTGGAGATCCAGAAGCATCTTGTGCAAGTTCATGAACATTTGCGACACTTGTTGGTGGTGCTGTTAGTACTCGTAAACGTCCATATGTCGTTTTTTCTTGCTTCACTTGAGCAGGATTGACATTTTCATTATTATTATTATTACTATTGTTGTTATTGTTATTCGACTTTTCAGCATCATTCTATAAGAAAAAGAAAATTATTAAAAGAAATGTTTTGAAGTTAATTAGGGTTTTTAGCTAATTATGCACTACCCCGAAATCGTAGTCAATCGTAGGCACCATTAGCTTCGAAATTAATTTTCTCCGCTATTTTAATTATTTACAGCGAAACCTGTGGTGTATAATTGGCTAAAACCCTAATCATCAAACTTACATCAACTTGTGAAGTCGAACGACGCTTAGCGGGACTAGACGATTTCTTTATATCATTTATGGCTAGTTCATTTGGTTTAACAGCTGATGGTGGATGACGATGTTCACGAATCATCACTTCCGATGCTGTTTTCTGAAGTTTATTCATCATTGGATATTCTAAATCGCCATCAGTTTCCGGAGTCTCAGGTTGCTCTTGTTGAATGATGAACTGTTTAATAGGAATCGGTGGAATCTTCTCCACCACATGAGGATTCTCTTGCTTGTCTGAATTTTGTTTCTGTTGAGTATTCTTATACACAACTTGACCAGTATTTTGATTTTTATCAGCTTTAACTTTATCAATATGTCGAACAGGTTCAGTCGTTGCCGCAATGTTGTTCATATCACTGTCAATTTTTCGCTGCTTTTGTTCATTGCTGCTGATATTCGACGCTTGAACTGTCACTTGTGGCACAGCGTGATTAGTATTAGTGACATCGTTCTTCGCTTGCGCATTACTGTTAAGTATCGACGAACAGTTCACCTGATTATTGATTTGTGACAGCTGTTCGGTCTTCTCCCAATCATAAGGATCCGTTTCCTTTATTGCTCGACGCTTCATACAACGTTCAAAAAGTGACGCTAACATTGCATAATCAGGCTTATCAGCATAACTAAGTGACTGAATGTGCTCCAAAAATTGCTTAAAATCTGACGGCAAATGTTTGAGTAAAAGTCTATGATCATATTTTTCCTTCATAAGTCCAACTTGTTCCTTGTCCTTTATCTTACGCCAAGGCAATTGGCCATTTACAAATTCAACTAACATGTAAAAGAGCGACCAAAGATCGTCATGTCTGCCCATTTCACGGTTACGATGAGCATTTATTGAAGCGTATCTTACTGTCCCACGAAAGCCTGCAGCAGCCCGTGGACATCGAACTTCACCACTTGTCGTCGTGTATTGACGAGCGAGTCCAAAGTCTAACATGTACACACGACGATTGTTAAATGGTAAACGTCCCATTGAAAAGTTACTCTGTAATTAAAAAAATATTGTTAAAGTGACCTAAAAAGTAATGCACAAGACAAACAACTCACCGGTTTAATGTCTCGATGCAAAAATCCAACAGAATGAATCGATTCGATTCCTTTGAGTATTTGCACTCCCAGACGGAGTGTTGTGCTGAGTGAAAATGCACCACGAGGCTGACTTCGACGAAGTTCAGCTAAATTTTTTCCTTGCAGTTGCATCACAACATAATTAAATCGATCATTCCTGCCACAGCCTATAAAACGACAAACATGCTCTTTGCCTTGAAGCTTCTTCAATACTGCCACTTCCATTTTGAGAACTTGCTTCGGCATACGTGCTGACTCGACTTTCAACGCGACTTGTTCTCGCGTTATCAGATCTTGACCCTCGTAGATTTCTCCAAAGCCACCGCCGCCAATCTTTCGTACGACTTTCCAACGTTCTTTCACTACATGACCGGGTTGAAGTAAATCTTCTGACGTCATGGTAATATTTTGATTGTTATTCTGAAGGGTCACATTGTGCTCAAAATTAGTTAATCAAGTCAAGTTATTCATTTGAGAAGTTTAGCGATACAAACCTGATCTGTTGATGGCGAACGAACACGAAATGGAACGCGACTTTTCGCTATTTTCGGATTTGCTGGGAGAGTTGCACTTCTTTGTAGAGTGGTTCCACTACGAGGTGGTCCTATTGGACTTTTACTTTCGATATCATTCCTACACATGACGAAAAAATGATTTAATCGAGACAGATGAGTAAAAGTTAATTAATTTATGTGATACGTATTGTTGACAGTGAAAAAAATAAAGAAAATCAATGTAAATCGGGGTCATAAATAGCATTTATGTTTTTTTCTTGTGACATATGTAAGTTTAAGGCTGAATATTTTCGGAACGATTACTAATAAGAAGATTTTCATAGACATAAAACTTCTTTTTATTATGTATAACTAATAGAACTTTTCCCTAAATAGCAATTGCTTCTAATTTACTTTTTCCCTGTTTGAAAATAGAAATTATGATAACATAATAGGTTTAAAATTATTTAACTGTTGAAAGGCTTAGAACACGAGAATAAATCGTGAAATTGACGAGATATTTCCCTGCACACGTTTTTTATATAACAGTATCGGGACGAAAGGGAAAAATTTTATGCGAGAGATTTTCATTCTATTTCTATGTTACACGACTGAATTTTCTTTTGAGTGTGATGTCATAAGCTGTTTGTTAAACTACCCTTTGAAGCATATCACGACATAATAACTTTAATTCAAGTGGTCACTGTTTAATGTTGAAACATATTTAATGTTTTTCTTTTTTTTTGTTGCGTTGTTGTTGTTAATGAAAGTTTTTTTAATTTTAACATTGAATATCCTGCCTTATTTTCATCGATTTTTTCCGCCTTACACGGAATCAAAAGAACAAGAGATAAAACATTTTAAAAATTTTCCTAGTAAACATAAAACACTTCCTGTTATATTCTGAAGAAATCTTACTATTGCCACTTTTTAAAATAAGTTAAATTCAATAAAAGTTATTCTAAATTTTCTTTTGCAATTTTTTTTTCAGCTATACAAATTTTCTTAAGAAACTTTTTTCACTGATTTAATGAAATTCATCCGAAACGTAAATTACCATAATCAGATGATAAACTTTAACTCATTCAATCTCGATATAGTTTCTATTGCACCTTTCACTTAGATTAATTTTACAGTCATTTATATTTTCTTTAATTTAAAAGCCGTAGATATTTAATTTCAGAAATTGATTTTCCTCTACCACTAAACTCTACAAATAAAACAAATTTCTCCAACTCTAACTCTACAAAAAAATGTTGCGTAGTCGAGGGAATTTCATCTTTAGACGCGTCTTATGCGTGGAAATTGAATCTAATAAGACTTTGAAACTATTAGTTTCAACCTTAAAACAATGTGAATAAGACTTAGTTTTGCATGACAATCAATGTGAGAATTTCAATTTTTTGATGTAACATCAACAATTTTAGTTTTCCCTAAATAACTCCTCAATTAAACACTTTTTGGATAGGGTTGCTAAGACGAAAATATCATCTATGTCACCTCTGTTGATCGTCTGAAGACATAATTTCAAAAAAGTTAGCCGTTTACGAGATATTTGTAAATTTATTTCGGCTAATAAGACTTTGCAACTTGTGCAATAATTTTGTGTGAATAGATAATCTAAGATATTTGAGAATTGTTTTAATTAAAAATTTCTTAGAGAGTTACAACCAAATTTATGTCAAACATTCATAGTCCGTCGGTTTTCTTTCTTCACAAACATTTATACATATTAACAAAAGAAAAAAATATTTAGATAGTTTCATAAAAAACTTGTTACAATTTGTGCCATTTTCATCATGCCTCTAGCGATGAAATGTTTCATAAAAATCTGTTGATTTGGAAACTTTATTCTTTGATTAAAGAAAATTAATGCGTTTTAAAGTCCATCTTAATGTTTATCAGTGCGATAAATAAAAGTGTGAATGAAAATTTGTTTTATTTTTCTTTAAAGAATTTTGGGTTGGCACGTTGGAAATCTCTGGTAAAAATAGCAGGGATTTTCAAAGCATCATCGTCGTAATATAGAGCAGAAATCTATTTTTAAAAGCGACGTTTTCCCTACTCTTATTGTTTTGTTCTTATTCTCTTTGCGGAAAAGTTTTTTTTTCGATAAGCCTGTATTGTACTGTCGAAATATGAAGTTGGATGTTAGATGTTAAAATTTCTCATGATCTTCTCGTTATATGCTTTCTAATAGATTTTTAATTTTTATTTTAATATGTCTCACTAATTCCTTCTGCATTGAAGTTTTTTTAAAGGAACTATAAACAGCTTTCTTATTAATTTTTCATTACGGCCCACGCAAAATGTATCAAATTTATGAACTCAATCGACCCCGTTTTTAGCTTTTCCGTTTTGCATTGCGTTTCAATCGTTGCCAAATGATCATCGTTTACTACTTAAAAGCAGTCGATAGTCGTAAAAAATTATAAATTCCTATAAGCCTTAGAAACAATTTTGAATAATTAGTTTTGTATTTTTCTACTTACCACTTCATGATGATGCTTTGTTGGCTGTCGTTGTCAGTTTTAAGCAAATAAAATTTCGTACTTTAATGTTTTTATTTGATGATATTAAAAATACATTTGAAAATATTCCCCGATAAATTTATCTGTTCGTAGAAATAATTAATTTGGATATCAATATTTAATAAAAGGAACCAAAACTGATCTGAATCTATAAAGAAAAACTCGTAAAACAGCTTGACAGAGGTGGTTTATCAATGATGCCAAATGAACAACTGTTCCACAGATTTCTTCCTTAGTATGTTTTTTTTCTTTACAAATTTGAGTTTTATTGCAAACGACGCAAATATTATGAAGGTTGTGAGCACCGCTTGTTCCTCCGTATTTTTTTTATCGTATCGACACCAAACACTAAAGAGCTTAATGACTTCTAATTTTTTGTAAATGCTGTTGTCAAAATTGAACATCTCGACCGTCGAGAGTCGTGTGATGTTAAAGAAGATTTCCCAAAGAGAATATCAAAGATGAAAGAAAATCGTTTCTCATATACGAGAAAAAGTGGGTGAATCGATTAGTTAAGGGTGAAAAATAATTGAATTAAACTATTGTAAATTAAGCATATCGTAATGATAAATAGAATAGAAAGATATCATTTTTGAATTCACCCTTCCTTGTAAGCAATTCTCGTTTAGTTAATATTTATTTTTTTTCTTTCTTCTTATTTCATCCACGCGTTCATCGATATTTTGAAAGAGGTACATTCAGTTCTGATAAATTCACGGGAAAAATTTATGAAACATTTCTGTTTTCTTTTTTGTATGATGTTCTAAAAAATCTGTTTGAAGTTGTTTGTTCCGTATTTGTGATCGTATGATTGGAAATATATATTTGAAGCTGTGTATTGTGTTACAGGAAGAGATTTTTTAAAAATATTAGAAGAAAAAGTATCGAACAACAAAACTTTTGACCTCTCTCTGTAAAGGGGTTTTCCCGGTACAAAATGCATGATGTAGGAAGCAAAAAATAGAAATAAATGCTCATTGGTAATCTCGTCACTACCTCCGTTTTACTTCATATTAAGTCTTTCCGTGGGAATCTTTAATTACTTTGAACAGAAAATTTCTTTCATAAAGATCAACACAATGGCGGAATATATTTTCACGAAAGGTTTATTTTAACGTTTTCCTCTCTGTTTTCACCGACAACGTTTTACCTTGAGATAATCACAACGAAACTTTCGTTTAATGTGACGATTTGATTTTCAGTTGTCGATGTTACGACGTTCGATGAAGGTCCCACGTGTCTTTGACTTGTCACCAGAAGAAAATTGACTTTTTGCGTTTTCACTTAAATATTATTGTTGCGAGATATTGGCACACTCAAGTTTAAGTTAAACAACAATATATACATCTCATCCATGCCACCACAAATTGCGTACAGAATTTTTTTTTTCTTATTAATCACAGACTGATGATTTTCTTTTCTTAAGAAAAAAAATTACTGAAGCTTCACTTTCTTGTTTTTCACGAGATTGTAGATATAAAAAATACGAAACAAATGTTACGGTAATTTTATTATATTTCTTGTCTTCACTCGCGTCAATGATTAAGTCTTTTGACAATTTTTATTGAAAAATCATTCAAGTTGGCTATTAGTCAACTGACAACATCAAAATATATCCATTAGGTTGTCAGCAGGTAATCGTTAGTGCACAATTCGAGGTTTCTAAATCACTTTGCATCTGATGATGGGATAATTGAAGATTTATTGGATCTTATGACTTTTATATATATCCCCAAAGTTACGATTATTTCATGAAAACTTCTCGTATTCCTCTACGATTTCACATTCAAGTAGTTTTTATGGCACTTAAAATCTCATTTTTCATTATATCAGCTAATCCCTCTGTAGCAGTATTTTCATCTCACTTTTTTCTTTTTCTGCACCAACTTTGAAGTCAGCGATCGAGGGAAAGAAATATTTCGAAAGTCGACTGCTGGTGCAATCTTAAGTCGTATATCTTTTCCACTTTTTAGATGACTTTACATAAATATAATATTTTGAAATTATTTTATCATTCACAATTTATTTTTTCACAGTTTCATGCTTCCTACGTACACAAGGTTTTCCAAGAATTTTGTAGCCAGTTAATTAAACCGTAGCTCTGATTTTTTTATGAGTAGATATTTAAATAACAAAAAATTACCACATGTAACAAAATTAGCACGTATTGCAACTTTCACTTGCGACGAATAATTAGCAGTATTTTTCGCAACACAAATTTTTTTATGTCATTTTCTTTTTTGCAACCAGATTCCTCAACTTAGACGTTAATAAACTCCGTTTTGACGAAGAAAAATGATCCACTAATTACGTGTCCTGATTTCCGTATTTCGAAGTCAAATCTTATCGCTTTTTTAATCTCTTATTTTTGTCCGAATTTTATAGGAAAATTAAGTACCGAGTTGAAAAATATTCACGCACTAGAGGAAAATTTGTCGCGAGAAAACTGCTTAGAGTCGAGTTAAACTCTAGTTTAAATGATTTGAAAAGAGAAAGAAAAATTTCATATGGAAAACTCAAATGAATTTGTGTTGATGTGGAAAACTTTATTTGAAATACAAACACATGAATGATGAAAAGCAGTAGCGGATCAAAGAAAAGTATTTTCTGTGAATATGCAAGTGTTGAGATGATCGCAATTCACTGTTCCCTTCCCATTACAAAATTTAAATACCTTTTCAAAAGAATTTAATTTTTCTATGTGTTTTCTATATTTTCACAGATTGCAATACATTTGCAAGTCACATCATCATTCGAAAAGAAAATTCTTTGAGAAAATCCAACATAGACAACAATAACTGAAGAGATATACTCAAATAATGAAAGAATAGTTAGGGCGGTAAATAGAGAGAAGTTAAAAATATAATTCGGTAATTTAATTAGGCTTAGTCTTTCTTTTGGATTTGCACACATGTTGCTTAACTTTTTATCGACACATTCCAAAAGAAATAAACATATCATCAATTCACATCATAGTTATTGGAAGGAAAGCGAGAATCAAGAAACCTACAAATATCATTAAATCCACAGACATTTCTAGACTGTTCTTTGTCTACAGATTTTGCAAAAATATTGTCTGATGATCATCAATTTAGTTAATATTTGAATTCCATTAAGAAATTTATGTTTCTGCTAAAATGATCATCATTTGAATAAATCGCAACATTTCAAAATACCGAAAAAAGCTGGAAATTTCATTTTTGCACTCGAAATAATTTGTTATAATGACAAAGAACGATGGAAATATGTATTACTAAAGCATTAACCTCATTAGGTCGAGTCTGTGCTTGCCTTTTTTTCCCACTCATCCACATCCTCTCAAAAACATCTGACAGCCATCAAAATTGCTACACCTTTGATGTATCATCTGCAGTTATTGCAGGTGAATTTCTATTTATTTTTATGACATATTCAGACACATTTATGATCGGACTTTCATAAGTCACACATACACACACCTCTTCTGTTTTATTTCGAAAAGTTTTCAACTCTCACATTCTGTTTAGCGAACACAAAGCGTATTAATGTTAAACTTTAGATAGTAAAACTGAAAGGAAAATACTGAGAATCGGTACATCGTTGTTAAAGCAAAGCTGAAAAAATGGACGTTTATCTATTATTAGATTTATATTTTTACTCTTTTTTATACTTAATTTTCAGCAATTTTTCTTCCACTTGTTGTTTTTGGGGTGACGAGAATGAAAAGGCAGCAAGTGTGTGATGAGATTGTTTTTGTCTACAGAGAAACTACGTTGTTTAGAAGTTTTGATAAAAGCACTAACAATAAAATGAAACTGCTTTCTTCGATGTATCTTGATTTATTGATTTGTTGTTGAAGATTTTCATATGAAAAGTTTTTCTTTCCATTTCACGAGTAATCGGATGAATTGTGTTTTATTTCTACGTAATAAGATTTGTTTCTCACGCGCTATTATGAAAAGCGATACATTTCACGATCTTTTTTCTTAGAAGGAAATTAAAAATTCACACTTTTGAGTGTCTATGACGTGTTTAAGAAAACATACACAGATTAAACGGGTCGTGTGCGAATGAGTTATAATCAAAATAAATTTTTGCTTGTTTTATAAATTATGATATCAAGCCAGGTACAAGTAGTAAATTTGATAATAATGATGATCGCAAAATTTTATTAATACTTCCACCTTGAATCTCTAGTATTTCAACAATCTCATTTTACATTTGTAGTATTTATTCCGAGTCGGTATTTATAACAAAACAATATGTCGTGAGAACATTTTATATGATGATTCGATGATGGGAAAAGGAAGAAGAAAGTTCATTTGACGACATTCAACAAAATGCAACCCGTCATATAAAAACTTTATTTACGTTGATCTTTTCTTTTAATTGTGTCTATCATGTGACTCCAAGTGAATCGTGTTTTCCGACATGCAAACAAAATTCAATAAACTTAATAATTTAATTTTACATTGAACCGAAATTAAGCATCAGAGTTAATTTTATCCAAAGTACGTTTGAGGTTTAAGGACACTCAGTCATCTGCCAAGAAACTACTGAATAAAATGTTTGAAATCTGAGAAATATCACTCTTGACTTCAAAGTTCATATTTATTTCACTGAGAAATTATTTTTCTCTGAGTTCTTGCACAGATGAAAATTAAATGCCAAAATATTTTCAATTTACCTTTCATTCATTTTAATAATAATTTCAAGAATGTTAAACTTTTCTTTTCTGTGCTATTTCAAAACATTTCAGTTTTTAAATGCTTTCATTTGAATTTGGTATCGATTGAAAATCTAAATATTTAAAAACAGTAAAAAATTTATTTGCAAATCTTGTGAACTTTGAGAAATTTCTTGATTCATTTCAACCTCGCTGAGTCCCCGAATAACACAACAGGGCAAGGGCGCATTCAAATCAGGCATGGGACTGTCAATTCCATCTAGTTGGAGGACCAATCCTTTATACTCAACCGTACGAAGGCATTTTGGCAAAAAAAAGATTAACGCTGCATTAACTTAATGTGGAGAACTTGTGTCATCTTTTAATGAAGTCATGAGTTGGACTTGTTACGGATAACTCTTGTCAGATTTGAAAATCAATCTGATGACAACATATCAGTGCCAATGACTGAATTGGCACCTCAAGAAAAAGTGAAAAACTTAATTGCAGCCTAAACTGTAAGATTTAGTTATGAGGTGCGTTCGGGGAAGTTGTTGCGTATCATATGTTGCAACTTTTTCTCTCATACTATGTTTCAGTAAATTGGCACCAGACGGCGTTAGAGATAAAAGTGTAAAAAACGAAAAAAATCAAATACAGCCTCAACTATAAGATTAAGCTACTTCGTGTGTTTGGGAAAGTTGTTCCTTTATACTTGCTACAACTTTTTCTAGTACATCATATTTCGGTAGGTTGGCACCAGATGGCGCAATAAGGGAATTCATGAAAAATTTATAAAAATCATCATTTCCGCCATCTGGTGCCAACCTACCGAAATATGATGTACTAGAAAAAGTTGTAGCAAGTATAAAGGAACAACTTTCCCAAACACACGAAGTAGCTAAATCTTATAGTTGAGGCTGTATTTGATTTTTTTTGTTTTTTACNGGAAATGCCAGAGGAAATGCCAAAGAAAACTCAACACAACCCCAATTTAAGTAGTCCACACGGAGCGTGTGTGCTATTCGGGGTCATATGTTTATATCTTATTTATGAAAAATATTTCGAAGAATTTTCTTTTTTATTTTCAGATCGATCAAGCGCAATTATACTGGGAAATTTCAATTTTTTTTTGTGTACTCGTTTATACGGAAACATTATTCAAGATCTCAAAACTCTAATTCGAAGTGAAAAAGAACTCTTTTAGGTTGTTTGTTTTGAAGTAAATCTTGATTAGCGTCAATTGGAACAATGAGAGTTCTCTCAATTTATATTTTGAGAACCGGAAGTGAAACAATCCGTATGTCGTCTTTCAACATCATATTTTTCACAACCAATTTTTATGTAAACAGAAGCTGAAGCATCTCTTTTTAGCTACTAACTTTTCGTTTACTCTCTCAGAAACATTTTGAAAGTCGAAAATATTTCATTTTCTTATCATATTGATAAGACATATGAAATACTTATCTTCACTCTCAGCCGTGATGTGTCGGATATTTTTTTCTGTTTAAAAATAATTCAGAATAAGTCAGAAGCTACACTTGACTTTTCATTCGTATGTAGAGTAAAACTTTTTATTACTTGCGTATATGATCGTAAAAGTTGACAAAGTCGATTAATGATATAATTGCGCGATAAATAAATCAGAAAACATTTGAAGTGCTTGTTAATTGTTCTCTTTTAAAGTATTTGAATTAAGTGATAAGGAATCTTGTAAAACAAAATGCCACGACGTAAAGGTTTTCCTCAAATCTCATCTATGCCAGCCATTCGCATGCAGTCACCAGAAAGTTCAAGAAATGTTCCATCTCGATCTCAAGAAGTTAGTAATTTAAAAGAGTTGCCACTTTCGACAAGTGATTTGTCACAAAACTCTACAACTGACTTTACAATGAATGCTGCACATTGGTTGCCTATTTCAATTTCAAGTGGATCAGAAGATGAAACAGATAAATCTCATAAAACTGAAACAGATATAAAAGGTAAGCAAATAAAGATTTAAAGATAACAATGTCTATAGTTTTATCAAAGGTAATATTTGAAGTCTAAATAATGAGTAATATTGTTTTAAAGATAAAAGAAGGAAAATTATTCACAGATTTCCATCAACTGCCAGTCGTGCTTCAGAAAGAACCAAGCATGTTAAATTTAAGAAGTCGTCATGATCCCAAATATCAAGGTGTAAGAGCGAAGAAAACTGCGAGAATTGTAAATAAAGTTGGCGTGAGGAACATCGACACAATAAACATTCCAGAGAGATCAGCAAGATTCTTTCGAGATATTGTCCACACTTTGGTAGATTAAATAATTTAATGATCTTCAAACTTTTAAATGAATTTTCTTTTTCTCAGATCGATGCTCAATGGCGTTGGGTTTTGACAGTATTCATTTTTTCTTATTTTGGTTCTTGGTTATTTTTTGCTACACTCTTTTACATTATCGGATGGGCTCATGGCGATTTAATTTTTGATCCAGAAACTGGTCAAAGATTAGGAGAAGGAAAAGAAGAATGTGTCAGAGGTGCAACTAACTTTGCAGGATTTTTTCTTTTGAGTGTCGAGTCTCAAGTTTCGACGGGTTATGGAGAGAAGGTAACAAGTCAAAAATTGTTTTAATTGTAGCTAAGCAAAATGCATAAGTAAGTTTTTTCAAAGTATCCAACTGAAGAATGTCCCGAAGCAATTTTCCTGCTTATTGTGCAACTAACAGTTGGACTAGTAATTGACGCTGCAATGGTTGGCATTGTGTATGTTAAGATGATTCGTCCACCAAAATATGCCGAGTTCAAGTTTAGCAGAAAAGCTGTGATTTGTCAGCGTGATGGAAAACTTTGCCTGATTTTTCGCGCTGCAGATTTTAAGCAAGATCACAGTATCGATAGTAAAATTCGCGCTTATCTTTTTGAGGATAAGATAACAGCAGAAGGCGAAAGAACGGGAAAGAATCAACAAAGACTAAAATTAGAAAATAATGGCAGAGTTTTCCTAATTTGGCCTCAAACTGTTTGTCATTATATTGATGAAACTTCTCCGTTTTATGACATGAGTGCTCGAGATTTAATTCAAAAGCATTTTGAAATTGTTGTGTCATTAACGGGAATATCGCGATACACTGGACAGACAACACAAGCAAGAACAAGCTACCTCTCCAAAGAAGTCCTCTGGGGTCACAGATTTTCTAACATTATCACTTATGATCGTGAACATGGACACTACGTGACTGATGTTGATTCACTCGACACTCTTGAACGAATCGACACAGCTCTTTGTTCTGCTCAACGATTAGAAGAAATTGTGAATGAAGCTCTAGAAGCTCTGGAAAAGAAATCAGTTTTTCATTGGGCTCATAATTTCATTAACGACATCGAAGAGTTCGATGAAGACGACGACGAAGGACTTCAAATGATGCCAATATCATCTAAAACTGTTGTCTCGCCTTCGCCACATCCCTCGATGGTTTCTGTTGTGAAAATTGATGAAACTGTTAAAGCATAAATTGTTTATTTAATCGAATTTTTATCCAACTTGTTGTTCGAGATTCAACTGAATATAAATGGAGTATAAAGTTTTATTAAAATTATAAAAGAAAAACTGATAAAAGTGTAAAACTATAAAAAAATAATCTGATAATATGCTCGAAATAGAAAAGACATTATTTGAGTAGGTTCATTAATAATAATAAATCTGTTAAGCAACAGAACAGAAAAGAGTATTTTTATCAATGATTGAACCTAATGCGAACCAGTTAATTCATTCAGTTTTGTTTTAATGTCGGAATATTGTGATTTGGCTTCCTTTTTAAACTCGAAAAATTCTTTCATGATTTCGGAAAATTGTTGCCTCATTTCTTCCTTAAACTCATCTCTGTTACATTGACATTCCTTCACTTGATCTTTCTTCAGATCTTCCTTATGTTGGCATTTTCTCCTTACGATTGACAATGCTTTCTTCATTTCGGTGCTGTTCATTGAAATCTTTCTGTTGATGCAGGAATTTGAAGATAAATCAACATATTCAAGATAACGGAAAAATGATTCAACTTTGGTGAAAATTGATTCATCNCATTATGGAAATAACTTGTTTTCACAGAAGAACTTTCCGTCGTGTATCTTTAATAAAATATTTTGTGTTTAGTTTTTGAAGAAAAAAAAATTGGGTCATTAAGCAATCAAATCATCAATTTATATCTCTACAAACTTCTTCACTACTCCGAAGCGAGCATCGTAGAAATTTTCTAAAACACATTTTCTATGTGAAACAAATCTTTTGAACATTCTAAATCGACTTTTATGTGTAGAAAAAAGATATGAAGCGTTGTCTTCACGTTGAAATTCAGAGACCGACTAAATAATATTATTAAAAGAGGGAGAGAACGAGCATATGAATTTGTAACGTCTTAAAAGAGCTCTCGCTAAGCAACAATCTATAGAATTGCCAAAATGTAAAAGAGAAGAATGAAAAGCAATATTTGAGTAGTGTTGCGTTATCTTCTTTATATATTTCTAGGGTAGCTAGAAATGTAAGTTTATTGCTTCATATATTTGAAGAGAAAAATATCGTCGAAACAGGTAAAGTTTCCGAAATATCTTCTTCTAAGAATTCTTTTCTTCAACCTTGAAAATGAGTTTTTTTTTCTTAATTGATGTTTCAGAAAAACTATCTAAACCAACACATTGTTGTTTTATGTAAATATCTCAAAATGAGTGAATAAGGAAGCCTTACAACACTATTGAATTTACTTTCTTATTTATTTTTGAAGGTTCTTATTTTGTAGCATTCATATTTCTGCGTCAATAGATTTCAAATTTATTTGAAGCCTCCTTTTCAGAAAGAAAAAAATTACCTAAAAATTTGCATGAACAATTTCAGATTAAATTAATGAATAAATACAATTATCTACAAAATTCTTTCAATGTCGGATTGATTGATCTAGATAATTGTTTATTTAATTTAAATTAAACAAAAATTTTAATCTTTCGAATCACTCACTTGAAATACTTATTACATGAAGAATTTCGATGACATGATTAGAGCAGAATTACAGCCAGATCAACACGAATTCAGAACTTTCTAAATATGGCAACAAATAAGAAGTTTTTCATAACAATCATATCAATTACTTATTTCGTTTATTCGTTTTATTACTCTTCATTAGTATTAAGAAATGAAGTCATTTACATATGATTTCACAATATAATTGTAATTTTATTGCTTATGAATTTGACATGACATAAATTCTGTGTTTGATTTAATCAACCCTTCACTCAAAAATTTAGTTCTCAGTTCTCTCTGTGATTCTGTTATCACTCGCGTTTTCTGTTTCTTATCATAAGCGAAAACAATTCCAACATTGGACACGCTTGCCAGTAATTGTTAAATTTTCTCGGCAATTTCCACTAAATCGTTGAATTGCAAAGGTTGATTATTCACTTGCAAAAAAAAGAATATCTAATAAGTATAAAAGAGAAACTGATAAAAGTGCGAAAATATAAAATAATAATCTGATAATATGCTCGAAATAGAAAAGACATTATTTGAGTAGGTTCATTAATAATAATAAATCTGTTAAGCAACAGAACAGAAAAGAGTATTTTTATCAATGATTGAACCTAATGCGTACCAGTTAATTCATTCAGTTTTGTTTTAATGTCGGAATATTGTGATTTGATTTCATTTTCAAACTTCAGAAGCTGCTGCTTGATGTCTTTGATTTCTGTAAATTGTTGCCTCATTTCTTCCTTAAACTCATCTCTGTTACATTGACATTCCTTCACTTGATCTTTCTTCAGATCTTCCTTATGTTGGCATTTTCTCCTTACGATTGACAATGCTTTCTTTATTTCGATGTTGTTCATTGGAATATTTTTGTTGATGCAGGAATTGGAAGATAAATCAACCATTCTAAGGTCGGGGATAAATAATTCAGCTTCGGTGAAAATTAATTCATCAATAAATTTAATCGAATTATTTTCTGTAAGAAAAATTGTTATAAATTGAATATCGGTCAGGTAAACTAACTTTTTTTCTTGTTGATCTTACGTAATGTCAGCTCACGCAACGATGACAAAGGCTCGAGTAAAGTGTAATCTAATCTTTCCAATTTGTTGTGATTTAAATCCAAGACTTCCAATTCATTCAATCCATTGAAAGCATTTTCATCAAATTGGTTGATTTTGTTGTTGGCTTTTGAAACAATAAATTAAATTAAACTTTTTTTCAATTCGATTTAAAATTATTTCTATTCATAGAGGTCAAAGATCTATCAAGGACTTAAAACCTTTAAACACATTTTTCTTCCATCTTATCAATTGATTATCAGTTAAAAATAATCTTGAATGAACATTTCCAACGATGTTGATGTAACGAACGTGTTTGATTAAATTGAATGCTGTGATAATATGAGAAAAGTGCTTCAATAAAAAGTTATCTAAATTTTACCCAAACTAAGACTGGACAACGATGACAGTGGCGAAAACACGTGACGTTCTATTTTATCCAATTGGTTGTGGTCCAAATCCAAAGTTGTCAACTTTCCTAATCCATTGAAAGTGTTTTCCTCGATCTGTTTTATTGAATTTTTTGCTGTTTACAAATAAATTTCATTAGTTTTCTTAAATTTCACTGTATTCGTAAGTTTTAACATTTACTTAAACGTAGATGGCTTAAGGAAGACAATGGTGCAAACAAATCGTTTTCCAACTTCTCAATTTGGTTGGAATTCAAATACAATTTACTTAAACTTGATAATCCTTTGAAAACGTTTGCATCAATTTCTTTGATTGTGTTGTTTGCTGTTGAATATTAATTTGAACCTTGATTAAAAAAAATAATGTTTTGAAACAATTTTACCTATCATCAGATTTTGCAATGATGGAAGAGTGGCAAACAGCTCATTGTCTAATTTTTGTAACTGATTGTGATCTAAAATCAAGATTTCTAACTTTCTCAATCCATTGAAGGCACTTTTGTCGATTTGTTTGATATTATTATGCACTGGCAAAAATCAAATAAGGTTTTTACTTTATTATTGAAATTTGATAAAATTTATTTACTTAAATCAATCCGAGTTAATGACGAAAGTGGCGCAAATACTTCATTGTCCAACTTATCCAATTGGTTGTAATTTAAGTTTAATTCCTTTAACTTTTCCAATTTTTGAGAAACATTTCCATCAATACGTTTGATATTATTTTGTACTATTCAAAAGTATTTAAATTTCTAATCAGCATTTTTAATTTTGCTTAATTTCATAATTACCTAAATTAAGATACTGCAATGATGACAAAGGCGCAAATATGTCAAAATCTAATTTATCCAATTGGTTGTGGTCCAAATGCAAAGTTGTTCTCCTCGATATGTTTTATTGAATTTTTAGCTATTTAAAAATATGAATAATTAGATAAATAAAATTCACATGATTTGTTCATTTTCATATTTACTTAAACGTAGATGATATAAAGAAGACAATTGTCTAAATGTATCATTATTTAATATTTGTAGCTGGTTGTGACCTAACTCCAAAAGTTCCAAATTTCCCAATCCATTAAAATTTCTTTCGTTGATATTTTCTATTTTATTATAGCCTTTAAATAATTTAAATATTAATGTAGATATTTATTCATTTATGAGTCAAGAAGTTGTTGTTTCCGAATGTTTTTGTCTCGATTTTAAATAACAACGTTCGACACTGAATGTTTTTCAAACACATGCATTGCGAAACNAATATAACAAGATGAATCATCTAACCATCTGCCTTTTTCTTTACATGTGATCGTCTCATTTTCATTAACAGCTGTTGCACCCAAAACAGTAAGCATTAAACAGATCAAAGATATTATTTTCCTGTAACGACCACTGATAACATCACTAAGATCCAAAAATAATTAAATTTATTAAATTACCACATTTCAACTTGTACTTCACCCGAAGACGTTTCACTGATTACTGAATTTATGTCTACTTTATGTGAAAAGATTAGGATTTCTACAGTCGCAAAACATGCTTAAGATTGTAATTAAAATAATCATCAAACATTGTTTTGACCCCAGGCTGATAACTTCCAAATAGAATTTGATAAGAACCCGAATTTTTACAGACATTTTTAGCAATATTAATTCGGTAGAAGCAGATAATTTTCGATTATATGGACACTGAAATTAATGAAACAAAATTAAAACTAAATTTTATAAATCCAATCTGATTGATATTAAATTGATTGCGCATGTTTTTAATTCCATAGCAGCTTTCGATTATTATTTTATTGACAATTAAAAATATAATTCGAAATTCATTCAAATACAAAAGAAATTAAATAAAGTTAAAACAAGGGAAGTTTTTTAAGTTCCGAGCTTAAAGTTTACAAATTCTGTTAGATATCAATAAAGAACCAGAATAACTTTTAACTTAATTCAGAGTTTATTTATTGATAGATAGAAAATTAATAATATTCATTTAGAAGTGCAACGGCTTTTATAGGCTCAAGCTTCGTGTTTTAGGGTAGTGTTAGTGTAAAGCTTCATCGTCTTGTAGTAGTTTTGATGTGTATTCGTACACCGGACACAAGGTATTCCAACATATTTCACAAAATTGCAATCTTTAGTTAAACAAAGAACGCATTGATAGATTCGAAATGATTATATTTTTTAATTTTATGCTTATGCGGGGCAGCATGTTGAGAATGATTAATGAAAATTACACAAATGATTTCTAAATTCATCGATAACCTTTTTGTAGACATTTTGAATTTTAAATAATTTTTCTTGTTGTCCTTAGGTGATGCTCCAACTTGGTTCTGATGTTGACTTTGGATGGCTGAATGAACAGACGTTAACCAATCGCAATGGTTGAGATTATACAGATTCAACTTCATCATTCAAGATTTATCAGGTAAGGACTTTCAAGAAAAAACGAAATATTTCTTCAAAGTTATCGATGAATTTGATTTCATTTCGTGTAGTTTTTCATAAGGTTAGTTTTTCATTGGGTGTTTAGCTTAAAGAACACTTGGTAATCCAAGTGATAGCCTACTTTATATCACTTAAATTAAATTTTCCTTTAATTTCATCGTACCAGCCTAATGGACAATCCGACAATTGGTTTGGTTTTTTATGTGGTTTTTTTTGCTTGATCACAAGTGCAGCAGACATCTCGTACAACTACATTCCATCGAGCACCAACTCCTCTTCTATTTTTTAAATCATCGTTTTTGGTGGCAATTTTCAGGCACATTTGGGATTCACACAATAACCTTGCATTCCCTCGATGATTCATGTAGATAAACAATGGATAATTATCGTGGGTATTTTTAAAAACTGAAGAAATCTGTGAAGCTAATTGTTATTTCTCCCCAAAGGATGTTTTCGTATTTAACTTTTGCCACTTTTTTCAAGATATGATTATGAATCTCACTCAGAAGAAAAATTGAATTAGATAATCCATACGCGCTCCGCCTAATCCGCTCTATCCTTCGTCTCCCCTCCAGCTACTTGTTGGGGAATTATCTGCATCCATTTTGACGATTTAAGGAACTTGAGCTGGTATATTTCACAAAATTGCAATCTTTAGGTAAACAAAGAACGTATTGATAGATTCGAAATGATTATATTTTTTAATTTTATGCTTATGCGGGGCAGCATGTTGAGAATGATTAATGAAAATTACACAAATGATTTCTAAATTCATCGATAACCTTTTTGTAGACATTTTGAATTTTAAATAATTTTTCTTGTTGTCCTTAGGTGATGCTCCAACTTGGTTCTGATGTTGACTTTGGATGGCTGAATGAACAGACGTTAACCAATCGCAATGGTTGAGATTATGCAGATTCAACTTCATCATTCAAGATTTATCAGGTAAGGACTTTCAAGAAAAAACGAAATATTTCTTCAAAGTTATCGATGAATTTGATTTCATTTCGTGTAGTTTTTCATAAGGTTAGTTTTTCATTGGGTGTTTAGCTTAAAGATGTTGTAATATATTAATCCTTGATTCAATTTATTACTTTAATGTTTGAATTCTTTTAATAGAATGAATATAATTTAGTTTTCTCTAATAAGGAAAACGATCAAAAGATTGTTTTGATTAAAGAGAAAACTGAAATCAATAATAGCATTACTGAGATAATATATGTTCTAACACTCCCCCGCAATAATGCAATTATTGATTAATTTGATTTTTGGTTACATTCCAATCTATAATTGAGTCTGTTTTTGATAGAATTGGACTTGAGATTTTTGATGGATATTCTTGTGTAGATAGTAGTCCTGCAGATGTTCTAAAATATTTGAGTTTTGGTCCACATAAAGGTTTGGTCAACATGTCAGCTATATTATGTTCTGTTGGACAGTATTTTAACTCTACATTATTTTTCTTGATCCAGTCTCGAATGAAATGACATCGTACNTAAAACAAGGGAAGTTTTTTAAGTTCCGAGCTTAAAGTTTACAAATTCTGTTAGATATCAATAAAGAACCAGAATAACTTTTAACTTAATTCAGAGTTTATTTATTGATAGATAGAAAATTAATAATATTCATTTAGAAGTGCAACGGCTTTTATAGGCTCAAGCTTCGTGTTTTAGTGTAGTGTTAGTGTAAAGCTTCATCGTCTTGTAGTAGTTTTGATGTGTATTCGTACACCGGACACAAGGTGTTCTGCAGGAGTGTTTTAGGAAGAATCAAGCATGTTAAATTTAAGAAGTTTTTTTGTTCTGATCAGTTTTTGATTAGACATAATTTCATTAATGCCATCAAAGAATTCGACGAAGACGACGACCAAGGACTTCAAATGATGCCAATATTATCTAAAATTGTTGTCTCGCCTTCGCCACATCCCTCGATGGTTTCTGTTGTAAAAATTGATGAAACTGTTGAAGCATAAATTTCTTATTTAATTAAATTTTTATTCAACTTGTTGTTCGAGATTCAACTGAATATAAATGGAGTATAAAGTTTTATTAAAATTATAAAAGAAAAACTGATAAAAGTGAAAATATAAAATAATAATCTGATGATATTCTCGAAATAGAAAAGACATTATTTGAGTAGGTTCATTAATAATAATAAATCTGGTAAGCAACATTACGGAGAAAATACTTTTGATTATTGATTGAACCTAATGCGAACCAGTTAAATCATTCAGTATTGTTTCAATATTGGAAAATTGTGATTTGACTTCCGTTTTAAACTCGGAAAATTGTGTTTTGACTTCCGTTTTAAACTCGGAAAATTGTTGCCTCATTTCTTCCTTAAACTCATCTATGTTACATTGACATTCCTTCACCTGATCTTTCTTCAGATCTTCCTTATGTTGGCATTTTCTCCTTACGATTGACAATGCTTTCTTCATTTCGGTGCTGTTCATTGAAATCTTTCTGTTGATGCAGGAATTTGAAGATAAATCAACATATTCAAGATAACGGAAAAATGATTCAACTTTGGTGAAAATTGATTCATCAATAACTTTAATCGAGTTATTCTCTGTAAGAAAATTTGTAAATCAAGAAAATACCCGTAAGGGAATCTAACTTTTTTCATCTCACCTAATTTCAGCACACGTAACGATATCAAAGGCTCGAGTAAAACGTAATCTAATCTTTCCAATTTGTTGTGATTTAAATTCAAAACTTTCAATTCATTCAATCCATTAAAAGTATTTTCATCAAATTGGTTGATTGTGTTGTTTTCTTTTGAAACAATAAATTAAGTTAATCAATCTTCAATTGAATTAAAATTATTTCTACTTATAGAGGTCAAAATCTAACAAGGAATTCAAACCTTTAAACACATTTTACTCTCATGTTGTCAATTGATTTTCAGTTAAAAATAATCTTCACCGATGTTGGTGTAATGAACGTGTTTGATTAAATTGAATGCTGCGATAATATGAGGAAAATGCTTTAATAAAAAATTATCTAAATTTTACCCAAACTAAGACTGGATAACGATGACAGTGGCGAAAACACGTGACGTTCTATTTTATACAACTGGTTGTGGTCCAAATCCAAAGTTGTTAACTTTCCCAATCCATTGAAAGTGTTTTCCTCGATCTGCTTTATTGAATTTTTTGCTATTTAAGAACATCAATAATTAGATAACTAAAGTTCACTAGATTTGTTCATTTTCATATTTACCTGAATAAAGATGAGATAAGGAAGACAATTGTCCAAATGTCTCATTATTTAATTTATTCAATTGATTGCCGTCCAGAAACAAAAATTCTAATCTCTTCAATCCAGTGAAACTTCGTTCGTTGATATTTTCTATTTTATTATTGCCTTTAAAGAATTTAATTATTAATGTAGATATTTATTCATTTATGATTCAAGAAGTTGTTGTTTCTGAATGTTTTTGTCTCAACTTTAAATAACAAAATTCGACATTGAATGTTTTTCAAACACATGCATTGCGAAACATCAACAAGTTAATCACTTACTTAGTTGTAATACCTTCAGAGAACTTAAATCTTTGAAGACATCATCTTGGAGTATTTCAATTTGATTACCAGACAAATCTAACTTTTGAAGCTTTGACAGACCAATGAAATTGAAGTAATGAACTTCTAAAATTGAACATCTTGTTGCCTGATAGTACTCCAGATTAGGAAACACTGCTGACGCGTTATCAGGCAAATATTGAATATGTTTGTTTCTATGTATAAAAAATGTTCGGGTTTTCAAATTAATTTCCCCGGAAAGTATTCTTCCTTTTTCATGAATTGCCTTTTCAATATAACAAGATGAATCATCTAACCATCTGCCTTTTTCTTTACATGTTATCGACTCATTTCCATTAACAGCTGTTGCACCCAAAGCAATAAGCATTAAACAGATCAAAGATATAATTTTCCTGTAACGATCAGTGATAACATCACTAAGATTCAAAAATAAATAAATTTATTAATTTACCACATTTCAACTTGTTCTTCACCCGAAGACGTTACACTGATTACTGAATTTATGTCTACTTTATGTGAAAAGATTAGGATTTACAGTCACAGAATATGCTTCAGATTGTAAATAAAAAATAATCATCAAACATTGTTTTGACCCCAGGCTGATAAAGTAAAAATAGAATTTGATAAGATCCTATATTTTTCTGTTCAGTTTTTCATTGGGCTCATAATTTCATTAATGATGTGGAGACATGACGAAAAAGAAGAGAGAAAGAGAGCGAGAGAAAGAAGGTCATTCTTTACGAGGAGCGGAGCAGTAAATGTTGAAAATTATGTAAACAAATATTACAATATCAACAATGTAATCGACCATCGACACTAATCGACTCTTTCGATCATAGTCGATCATTGTCGACAAGGATAAGAAGTTTACCTCGTTAGGTAAACTTCCTTACCTGATCACTTCTCTATGAGACCTGATCCTGAATAGTACTAATAAAGGTAAATTGAATTTAAGTAAGATAATTGTTTCCAACAGGTTATGGGCCCAGAAGACTGCTAAAAAAGTGAAAAAAAAAAAAAATTTTTTTTAATCTGATAAATCATTTAAAAAGTATTGTTTAAGCAATTCAAAATTTGATAAATCAGAAACAGATTCAAATTTAAATTATTAAAGTGTGGTAGATGTCTGACTCCGAAGAATCATCACCCACGATTAATATTATAAAAGAAGAATCTGAATTTCATCTAGCAGAAGAACAACTTAATTCAAGTGCATTCGATATACCAATTCTATCACGTGAATCTATCAATTTGGTAATTGAAAATAATTCGGTTCATTTGCATTCACAGCAAATTCACCACGTGGAAGAAGAAGAAGAAAATAATACAATGAGTGACAGCGGAATAAAAATTCAACCACTTGATTCTACAAATTATGAATCGTGGAAAATACAAATGCGTGCCGTGCAGTGTTAAAAATGAAAAATCTATGGATTGACATAGATAAAGAAGATGAATTAAATGCAACAGAAATTGCATTGGCACGAAAAGCATTTTTTGAAATCGTTGTACGTTGCGACGGTGCTCATTCAATGTTCATACAATCGGTAGCTGAAGACAATTCAGTCAAAGCGCTGAAAGCTTTAAGAGCTAAGTATGAAGGCACCGGAGCGATGTCAACGTTTGAGATTTTATATCGCGCACTCACTACAAAGCACACCAATGGACCAATTGATGTGTTTGTAGAAGAAATTCGACGCCATTTCCGTCGCCTTAAGGAAAAGGGAATTGATTTGCCAGAAATGATTCCAATCGTGAATTTAATGATTGGATTACCACAAAAATATAGCGATCACTGGCGCTGTTTCCTTACAATCTCATCGCGAAGAAGTTGCTGCTTCTTCACACTACGACAATAAACCAAAAAATATTGATCGTAAAAATTTTCAAAAATGTACTTTTTGTAACAAAAAGAATCATTTGGTTGAAGATTGCTATTTGAAACATGGAAGAAATGCAAAAAATGTAAAAAATGGAAAACAATTTCAGCCAAAAATTTACAACAATAACAACAAAAAGCAATTTTCCAATTATTCCTCAGAAGCAAATGGAACTGCTGAAGCAGGTGAAGCTTCTTCCATGTATGCTGAAACCATCCATTCAGCATTTATTGCAAATACTAACCCATTTAAAAAGCCAAAAATTAAAAATATTTTTAATCGCTTAGCGCCAGCTAATGCAACAAATGCATCACGTCGCGCAACATTTGAAAAATGTGACACGCGACGCAAAGTAATTTACACATCTAGGGTTGCAACCCCAATTGATAAAGAATTGAGAGAAGATGAAAAATTACAAAATTCATCGTTATCACCAAAATCACCTAAAAGGTATTGGAATGGTGAAGGAGATAATGACTTCTCGAAAATTCCGCGTACTCCTGGAAGAGATATTAAATCAGATGATGAAGAAACTGATATTGGTTGTTCCGAAATTGAATTATATTTGAAAAACGGAGAAATTGATATGTTTAATAAAACTTTCAATAATTATTCATCTTGTTTTCATTCTACCACAAACCTTTCAAAAAATAATTCCTATTGGATTGTTGACTCCGGTGCATCCTTACATATGACATCAAATAAAAATTTATTTACAGATTTAAAAATCGAACATTGTGGAAAAATAAAAATTGCCGACGGCAATTTCATTCCAATCATGGGTAAAGGTAAAGTAAATATTTTTATAAAAACAACAGAGGAACCAATAAAAATTGTTCTTGAAAACGTTGCATATGTTCCTGAACTGAAAATTAATTTAATTTCTATTCATGAATTAACTAAAGCAGGACATTCAATTTCTTTTGAAAAGAACTTTTGTAAAATAAATATAAAAAATAAATTTATTGAACTTGCTAATTTTTTTGACAATAATTACATTCTTATAGAAGAAAAATGTAATACATTTTTATGCGTCCATGAATGGCATAATAGATTCGCTCACAGAAATTTACGTGACATTAAGAATCTACAGAACTTTGGACTTAAAATTAATAAATGTACTTGCTTAGATCAATGCGATGCTTGCATGAAAGGAAAAGCAGTAACATTACCATTTGATCACTCATTAAAACCAAAAAATCCTCTTGATATCATAGTTAGTGATATTTGCGGGCCTTTACGCACAAATTCTATCAGTGGCTCTTCATATTTTCTTACAATCACTGATGTTCACACTGATTATACAGAAGTAAAATTTTTAAAACATAAAAATGAAGCAAATGTTCATATAATTAATTTTGTAGAATTCTGTAAAAATCAGCTATCAAAAAGGCCGAAAATTTTTCGATCAGATGGAGGGGGTGAGTTTGTAAATACCGAATTGAAAAATTATTTTTCCAATGAAGGTATTCGATTCGAAACTTCAACACCAAATACGCCGCAGCAAAATGGCATTGCCGAACGTAAGAATAGAACCTTAAATGACTCTGTTCGAACACTATTAATATCCTCAAAACTCCCAAATTATCTTTGGGCAGAAGCTATGAATAATGTCGTTTACACACACAATCGTATTATTAGAAAAGATAAAAAATTCACACCAATAGAATTATTTTTTAATAAAAAGGCTCGAGGAATTTTCATAGAATTTGGAAAACAAGTTTATGTAACCACTCCAAGACAAGGTAGAGGAAAATTACAGCCTCATGCCGAAATAATGAAATTTTTAAGCGTTGACGATAATGCAAAAGGTTTCAGAGTATGGAATGGATCAAAAGTTATTATCGATCGAAATATTAGAGAAAAATTGGACTCCAACATTCCATATTTAAACCAATTTACTAATATTCCAATTAATGCTTCATTAATCAAAGAAAAATTTTGCCCATGTCCCCAAAAATCTTTACCGAGAAGATCTGAACGAATTAAGCTTAAAAATTTAAAAGAAAATGCAAATTTCTCTCATGAAGTGTCCTCGTCAGATCCCAAAACTTTCAAACAAGCAATAAATTCATATTATAAAAATGAATGGCTTCAAGCAATGAAAGATGAACTACACTCACTTGAAAAAAAGAAAACTTATAAATTTTCAGAACTTCCTAAGGACCGAAAAGCAATAGGTTGCAGATGGGTTTTTAAAAGGAAGTATGATGATAATAAAATTGTCTTTAAAGCAAGATTAGTTGCTAAAGGTTTTTCACAAAAATTTGGGGAAGATTACGATGAAGTGTTCGCACCAGTCGCTCATTCCCAAACCATAAGATTACTCCTTTCAATGGCTGGTAAATACAAATTAAAATTAAAACAATTTGATGTAAAAACAGCATTTTTAAATGGAGATTTAAAGGAAGAAATTTATATGCAACAACCTGAAGGTTTTAAAGTTAATAATCAAGTTTTACGACTACTAAAAGCAATATATGGGCTTAAACAAGCAGCAAGGTCGTGGAATCAATTACTCAACGAATGTCTTCTAAAATTAAATTTCACACAATCCGAAGCTGACGAGTGTTTATTCACAAAAAGAGTTGGTAATGACGTGTGTTATATTGTCGTACATGTTGATGATATGCTTTTCGCATCTTCAAATGTAAACATAATCGAAGATACTGTTAAAAATTTATCAAAGAGTTTTGAACTTAAAGATCTTGGATATGTCAAACAATTCCTAGGCATTGAAATCCATAAAACTGAAAATGGATACGGAATAAATCAAGAAAAATATATTTCACAAATAGCCAAAGAATTTAATTTATGTAATGCTAAAGCACAAAAATATCCAATCCAACCAGGATATTATAAACTTGAAAATACTAATTTCTTGCCTTCAAATAAAGTTTATAGACAAATAATCGGAAAATTATTATATATATCAACAAATACTCGTCCTGATATATCTCTCAGTGTTTGTGCTCTTTCTCAACGAGTAGAAAAACCAAGAAAGATTGATCTTGACGAAGTTTTTCGCGTTATTAAATATCTAAACAATACTAAAAGTTATGTGCTTCACTTAAATAATACTTACGCATATCAGCCTTTAATTGCGTTCAGTGACGCAAACTTCGCCGAATGTAAAATTGATGGAAAATCAAATTCAGGTATTATTTGTTTTGTTAATGGAGGACCAATATTATGGTCAAGTAAAAAACAAAGTCTTGTCGCTGTATCAACATGCGAAGCTGAATATTACGCTATAACTGAAACAGTAAAAGAAGTAATATGGTTGAGAAAACTTCTTAAAAGTTTTAGTGAAACAATTGATAAATCCACAACAATCTTATCAGATAATCAGTCCAGCATAAGCATGATACTAAATGGAGATTTCATGCAAAGAACAAAATATATTGGCGTGAGATGTCATTTCATTCGTGACTGGATCAAGAAAAATGTCATCAATCTGTACTACTGTCCCACTGAATACAACATTGCAGATATGCTAACTAAGCCTCTATGTGGCCCGAAGATTGATACACTCAGAACATCATCAGGGATCCTGCCAAGCAGTTCAACACCGAAGAAGAATCAGAACAACATTCTTACAAAATAGATAAGAAATATTTTTTTTCTTTTATATGAATTTTTTTTTAAAAAACAAATTTCTGAATTATAAATTTATTTCTTTTATCGATTACATTGTCGCGGGGGAATGTTGAAAATTATGTAAACAAATATTACAATATCAACAATGTAATCGACCATCGACACTAATCGACTCTTTCGATCATAGTCGATCATTGTCGACAAGGATAAGAAGTTTACCTCGTTAGGTAAACTTCCTTACCTGATCACTTCTCTATGAGACCTGATCCTGAATAGTACTAATAAAGGTAAATTGAATTTAAGTAAGATAATTGTTTCCAACAGTAAAAACGTCTGAAAGTTTGTGCGCGAAAAAAATATATAAAATTATATTGTAAATCAAAACATTTAATTACCAGAAAATATAAGTTATAAAATAGAAAAAAGTGTTTAGTATTATTACAAATGACATCAAAGAATTCGATGAAGACGACGACTAAGGACTTCAAATGATGCCGATATCATCTAAAATCGTTGTCTCGCCTTCGCCACATCCCTCGATGGTTTCTGTTGCGAAAATTGATGAAACTGTTAAAGCATAAACTGTTTATATAATCTGATTTTTATTCAACTTGTTGTTCGAGATACAATTGAATATAGAGTAGAAGTTGGTAATTCCGTCTGGTTATAATACCATTTTTTTCAGCATCTTAGAATCGTCTTGGGATTTTTCATGTGAAAATATGAAAATGTTTTCAACTTTTAGCTTCATATCTAGGCTTTAAATTCAATTTGAAATCTTGATATTTAGCTAAAAGTTTTAAAAAAATTTTCTTATTTTCACATGAAAAATTCCCAAACGGTTTTAAGATACTGAAAAAAACCGGTATTAAAACCAGCCGGAATTACCAACTTCTACTCTAAATCTGGTAAGCAACAGAACAGAAAAGAATATTTTGATTATTGATTGAACCTAATGCGAACCAGTTAAATCATTCAGTTTTGTTTTAATGTCGGATAATTGTAATTTGATTTCCTTTTTAAACTCGGAAAATTCTTTCATGATTTCTTTAAACTCGGAAAATTGTTGCCTCATTTCTTCTTTAAACTCATCTCTGTTAAATTGACATTCCTTCACCTGATCTTTCTTCAGATCTTCCTTATGTTGGCATTTTCTCTTTACGATTGACAATGCTTTCTTTATTTCGATGTTGTTCATTGGAATATTTTTGTTGATGCAGGAATTGGAAGATAAATCAACCATTCTAAGGTCGGGGATAAATAATTCAGCTTCGGTGAAAATTAATTCATCAATAAATTTAATCGAGTTATTCTCTGTAAGAAAAATTGTTATACAATTAAAAATCAGTCAGGGAATCTTTATTCATTGTTGATCTTACGTAATGTCAGCTCACGCAACGATATCAAAGGCTCGATTAAAGCGTAATCTAATCTTTCCAATTTGTTGTGATTTAAATCCAAGACTTCCAANAAGAGAAACTGATAAAAGTTAGAAAATATAAAATAATAATCTGATAATATGCTCGAAATAGAAAAGACATTATTTGAGTAGGTTCATTAATAATATTAAATCTGTTAAGCAACAGAACAGAAAAGAATATTTTTATCAATGATTGAACCTAATGCGAACCAGTTAATTCATTCAGTTTTGTTTTAATGTCGGAATATTGTGATTTGATTTCATTTTCAAACTTCAGAAGCTGCTGCTTGATGTCTTTGATTTCTGTAAATTGTTGCCTCATTTCTTCCTTAAACTCATCTATGTTAAATTGACATTCCTTCACTTGATCTTTCTTCAGGTCTTCCTTTTGCTGGCATTTTCTCCTTATGGTTGACAAGACTTTCTTTATTTCAATTTCGTCCATTGAAATCTCTTTGTTTATACAGAAATTGGAAGATAAATCAACCATTCTAAGGTCGGGGAAAAATAATTCAGCTTCGGTGAAAATTGATTCATCAATAAATTTAATCGAGTTATTCTCTGTAAGAAAAATTGTTAAACAAATAAATGTCGCTCAGGGAATCTTTATTCATTGTTGATCTTACGTAATGTCAGCTCACGCAACGATATCAAAGGCTCGATTAAAGCGTAATCTAATCTCTCCAATTTGTTGTGATTTAGAATCAAAAATTCCAAATTATTCAATCCATTAAAAGCATTTTCATCAAATTGGTTGATTTTGTTGTATGCTTTTCAAACAATAAATTAAATTAAACTTTTTTTAATTCAATTAAAATTTTCTTCTTTTAGAGGTCAAAATCTATCAAAGACTTCAAACCTTTAAACAAATTTTTCTATCATGTTGTCAATTGATTATCAGTTAAAAATAATCTTGAATGAACATTTTCACCGATGTTTATGTAACGAACGTGCGTGATTCAATTGAATGCTGTGATAATATAAGAAAAAGGTTTTAATAAAAAGTTATCTAAATTTTACCCAAACTAAGACCGGATAACGATGACAGTGGCAAAAACACGTGACGTTCTATTTTATCCAATTGGTTGCGGTCCAATTCCAAAAATGTCAACTTTCCTAATCCATTGAAAGTGTTTTCCTCGATCTGTTTTATTGAATTATTATCTATTTAAAAGCATCATTAATTAGACAAATAAAGTTTACTGTATTCGTAAGTTTTATATTTACTTAAACGTAGATGGCTTAAGGAAGACAATGGTGCAAACATATCGTTTTCCAACTTCTCAAACTGGTTGCAATTCAAATTCAATTCACTTAATTTGGATAATCCTTTGAAAACATTTGCATCAATTTCTTTGATTCTGTTGTTTTCTGTTGAAATGTAATTGAAACCTTAATAAAAAATAGATTTTTTGAAACAATTTTAATCTTTTTACCTATCATCAGATTTTCCAATGATGGAAGAGTGGCAAACAGCTCATTGTCTAATTTTTGCAACTGATTGTGATCTAGCATCAAAGTTTTTAACATTTTCAATCCATTGAAGGCACTTTTGTCAATCTCTTTGAGATTATTATGCACTGGCAAAAATCAAATAAGGTTTTTACTTTATTATTGAAATTTGATAAAATTTATTTACTTAAATCAAGCTGAGTTAATGACGAAAGTGGCGCAAATACTTCATTGTCCAACTTATCCAATTGGTTGTAATTTAAGTTTAATTCCTCTAACTTTTCCAATTTTTGAGAAACATTTCCATCAATATGTTTGATATTATTTTGTACTATTCAAAAGTATTTAAATTTCTAATCAGCATTTTTAATTTTGCTTCATTTCATAATTACCTAAATTAAGATACTGCAATGATGACAAAGGCGCAAATATGTCAAAATCTAATTTATCCAATTGGTTGTGGTCCAAATGCAAAGTTGTTAACTTTCCCAATCCATTGAAACTGTTCTCCTCGATATGTTTTATTGAATTTTTAGCTATTTAAAAATATGAATAATTAGATAAATAAAATTCACATGATTTGTTCATTTTCATATTTACTTAAACGTAGATGATATAAAGAAGACAATTGTCTAAATGTATCATTATTTAATATTTGTAGCTGGTTGTGACCTAACTCCAAAAGTTCTAAATTTCCCAATCCATTAAAATTTCTTTCGTTGATATTTTCTATTTTATTATAGCCTTTAAATAATTTAAATATTAATGTAGATATTTATTCATTTATGAGTCAAGAAGTTGTTGTTTCCGAATGTTTTTGTCTCGATTTTAAATAACAACGTTCGACACTGAATGTTTTTCAGACACATGCATTGCGAAACATCAACAAGTTAATCACTTACTTAGTTGTAATAATTCCAGAGAAGTCAAATCTTTGAAAACATCATCTTGGAGTATTTCAATTTGATTACCAGACAAATCTAACATTTGAAGCTTTGGCAGCCCAATGAAATTGGAGTAATGAACTTCCAAAATTGAACATCTTTTTGCCTGATAACGCTCCAGATTAGGAAACACTGCCGACGCGTTTTCAGGCAAATATTTAACAGTTTTGTTTTTATTGATATAGAAAGATGTGGTTTGCAAATCAATTCGTCCCGAAAGTTTTCTTCCTTTTTCATGAATTGCCTCATCAATATAACAAGTAAATTCGCGTGACCAAATGTCTTTTCCACATGTGATCGTCTCATTTCCATTAACAGATTTTGCACCAAAAGCAATAAGCATTAAACAGATCAAAGATATTATTTTCCTGTAACGACCACTGATAACATCATTAAAGATTCATAAATAATTTAATTTATTAAATTACCACATTTCAACTTGTACTTCACCCGAAGACGTTTCACTGATTACTGAATTTATGTCTACTTTATGTGAAAAGATTAGGATTTCTACAGTCGCAAAACATGCTTAAGATTGCAATTAAAAAAATCATCAAACATTGTTTTGACCCCAGGCTGATAACTTTCAAATAAAATTTGATAAGAACCCGGATTTTATAGACATTTTTAGCAACATTAATTTAGTAGAAACAGAAAATGTTTGATTAAAGTGGACGCTGAAATTAATGAAATGAAATAAAAACTAAAATTTATAAATCCAGTCTGATTGATAATAAATTGATTTATGTTTTCAATTCCATAGCAGCTTTCGAATATTATTTTATTGACAATTAAAAACAAAATTCGAAATTCATTCAAATACATACAAAGAAATTAAATAAAATTTAAACAAGGAAGTTTCTTAGGTTCCGGGCTTAAAGTATCCAAGTTCTTCTGCCTTTATAATCATTGCAATTAATGAAAAATATATTTCCTTTGAATTTGGTTCAATTTGTTCAGGAGGTAAAATAAATCTCGATTCACCATCAGCCGTTCTCATTTCATAAGTAAAAACTAATGGTGTCTTGTAATGACCATAAGCGTGATCACGACTTGTTCCCGATGTCATGTAGAGTGTATCCATAGCATTTCCATATCGATAAACTGTTCCAAATGTAGAAGTTAATGCATATACAGCTGTCTGTGCGATGTTATGTAAGTCATCACGATTAGGAACTGATTCGGTTGAATTTGTTGTTCCCAATGGATACATCAACGCTTGTGCTGCTGAATGGAAACAAATGTAGGCTTCTGTCTTATCTGCGATTGTTTCATAAAAATCCATTAAAGCTCTTGTTTCTTTTTCAGAGAAAGCATATGGACCCGAGTAAGTATCAGAACAAGCGACGTTTGATGATCCACCCTCTAAATAATTAAAAAAATAAAATGTTTGATTTGTCAAAAATCCAAATATTCTCAAACCTCTAAAGTTAAATCCAAAATTACGATTTGGATCAACACCACGACACAAAATATTATGCATTGACCTCGTTTTCCTCCACAATCTATTGACGTCATGAGTGTATTGATATCCTGTACAAAGCATGAGTAATAATTTAAAAATTTGATTAGCACAAATTTAATCTGCGTTATTATCGTCAACTCATTTACCGTCAACATTTACAACTGGCACGAAATACCACGTCAAGCTATCAGTAATTTCTCTCAAGTTTATATCTTCTGATGTTAAAATTTCATTAATCAACCAAACTGAGGTTGCTGTTGCAATCCATTCACGAGCATGAATTGTAGATTCAATGAAAATTCCTGGATTGTTTTCATTATTCGTGATTTTTATGCCTTTAATTGGGCGACCTTCAAAAGATTCTCCAATTGTAAAAACACTTGCTTCGGGATGATTGTTTTCCATTTCATCCATAAATGCATAAATATCTTCAAGTTGATTATATTGATCCAAGGAAAAACCTTCTTTGCGCAGTTTTGGTGGGTTCTCAGCATCGATCCATTGCTTCAAATTATCAGTCGTCACTTTAAATTGAATTCCATTGGATGATGCAATTTCTTCAAACATTGGGAATAAATCTGGTCTGATCACCAAATCAAGCTTATTATTAACACTTTGAGGTGGATCCCAGAAAATAAACTAACAAATTAATTAATTAAATATTTTATCGAATGAAAATTTAATTTCTTACACCATTTTCACTTTCCAAAGTTTTTATTTCCTTCAATTGAGTTTCATTGACAACTTCGAATGACACAACTTTGTAATTTTCATAATTGATTGAAGTTGATAAATGGAATAAAGTTGAGATAAAAATAATTTCAAATTTAAACTTCATTTTAACTAATTTTCTGTTCTCACTTTTCCGTGTTCAAGAAATGAATAAATGAAGATTGTAAGCTAATAATTTGCTACTTAAGTAAGTAAGTATTAAGTAATATTGATGATAACAATTATCTTGACAATTATCAAAGCACTTAATAAAATATTATAAAATTGTGAGGTTTAAGCTATTAAAAGTGAGATTAGATTAATTAAGTACCCGGAATAGATTAGCTTATCTTTATACGGCACGTGAAATAAAATAAATTCTTTAAACGTTTGCAATGCATTTTTTATCTAATCTGTTTTCACTATTAAAAAAAGTCTTTAAAATAATAAAAACAATTATTTCAGATGTTAAACTGTTTCATTTTTAATTTTTCTTTTAAAATATTTCAAAGCTAGTCAAACATTTGAAAGCTTTTCAAAAGCTTATTTCCCAATGATCAGCTGCAACTTCTTATCGTGAGAGCGTGTAGATCAGCAGAGAGCAAGACATTTTTGGAATTTACTGAAAGAGAAGAGAATTCAACATTTATATTCATACATCTCAAAGCTTCCACTTCATTTGCGACCTGTCGCTTGTTGACTTTGCATCTGTTTCTCTTATTTTCTGTTTTTAACAGTGATTTGCTTCTGTTGGTATTAGTTATTGTTTGTTGTGCAACCTTAGTGGGGCGACCATTATGTCGCGAATTATCATTCTTTTGATAGCATCTGCCACTTTATTTCAACTTGTAAGAAGTGAAGGGTAAGTTTAAGAATTGAAAAAAGTCTTCCTAGCCCCATAAAGTTGAGTGCAAGAAACCTGATGCATGATTCAGCGTTCAATAGTAATGGTGTTAATCTCCGAAAATGGTCATCACAATGAATAAAAAGAAACTTAATATACGTAAACAAGTAAAAGAGTGAAGGAGAGTGAGAAGAAATAAAAATGAATATTTCGCGTAGTTTTGTGTAACACGAAACAAAATAAAAATCACGTCATTGTTTGTGTTGGCGGAGAGTCCACAGAATTCTAGTTAAAATGAATCAATTTTTATATGACACATAATCTTGAAATCACAAATAAATTATTTGTTGCTTTTGAAGTGGAAATAATCGAAACTTTAATGTGTAAATATGTCAACAATGTAAAAACAAAATTATGGAATTTCCCCATTGGTTACAACCGGCAAGCAAACAAAAAATGTCTTCACATCTATTAGTAATAAAATACCAGAACGAAACAAGTTTGATGTTTTTTTACGGGTTTTGCAAAAAAAATCGCATCGAAAATTAACTCAACATCTGATTAATGAGCGTGTAGGAAGTTTGATGCTTGCTGTAGCGTTAATAATAACGAACACTTTGCATGCATTGTCAAAGTTTAATTGAGTTGATGCAAAAGTACTTTTTATTTACGTTATGAAATTTTTTAGATATTTTACAATTGTTGGATCAAAGATTATTCGTCCAGATACTGATTATCATTTGTCGATCACAAGCCAAGGTTATAAAGAACCAACAACACTTAGTGTTAGTGTGAATGGAACAGAAGATAATGGATCGGAATTTCTTCAATCTAAAGAAGTCACTTTGATTAGTGATCAGACACAAACACTTGGATTTGATGTTAGTCAAATGAAATATTTTATAAATTGTTTTGAGGAACGAATGTTTACTTTATTTATAGCTTAATAATCTTCGTCCAGGCGATTACAAACTCAACGTCAAAAGTGTGACAGGCAAATACTTCGAACGAAGTGTCTCTTTAGACCTCAACACTAAAAAACATTCAATTTTCATTCAAACTGATAAGTCAATCTACAAACCGGCTGATAAGGTTCAGTTTCGAGTACTCGTTTTAGATTCAAACACAAAACCATTTCCAGCATCTGATGTTAAAGTTCATATCACTGATGGCGGTAAAAATCGCATCAAACAATATTCTGATGTAAGATTAATCAAAGGCGTATATCAGAATGAACTTCAGTTGTCTGATTTACCTGTGATGGGTAATTGGATGATTCATGTCAAGGTCAATGATGGTGAAGAAGTTACGAAATCGTTTGAAGTTGCTGAATATGTCTTGCCGAAGTATGAAGTCATTGTTGATTCTAATCCACACGTCACGTTCAAAGACGGAAAAATTCGTGCGACAGTACGTTCAAAGTACACATTTGGAAAGCCTGTAAAAGGTCAAGCGACTGTTTCTGCTTATCCAGTTCTTTGGCTTGGTGGTGTTCAACCATTCATTCAAGACAACATCGTGAGAAAAGTTATTCAAGTTGATGGAAAAGGATCTGTTGAGTTTGATATTAGAGAAGAGTTGAAGATTGAAGGTGATTACGAACGCTACATTAACATTGAAGCAATTTTTGAAGAAGAACTCACTGGACGTCGTCAAAACGGTTCGACTCAAGTGACAATTCATAAATTCAAATACAATATGGAACTTGTCAAGGAGTCAGATACTTACAAGCCTGGCCTTCCTTACAATATCTTTGTCAAAGTTGCAGATTATGATGGTGCACCGTTAATCGACAAAGTCAATCCCGTGAAAGTCTTCACCTCCTACGCATGGAATGAAGAAGACAACGCGACATCAACAGATTATTATCTTGACAAACATGGAATGGCGGAAGTCAAAGTTATTGTGCCAGTCAACACTTCTTATTTATCAATTAAGGTTTGAATTCTTGAATGTTCAATTAGATTTTGCGTGGGATTTGAATTCATTCATAATTTTTAGGCTAGATATTTGGATTCTGATTTCCATTTGGGATACATTAGTCAAGCAAAATCATTTAGCAATCAATATTTGCAAGCTAAAATTGTGACTGACAAGTAAGAAATCTTTTTCTATGAGTCAATAATGTGAGACTAATTAAATTATTTAAATAATTTCAGACCAAAAATAAATCAAGAAGTGTCCGTTGATGTTATGGCTACGGAAGAAATGAATCAATTGACATATCAAGTGCTTGGACGTGGTGATGTCATCATATCAAGAACACTTCAAGTTCCCAACTCGAGAAGCTTCAATTTCAGATTCTTAGCTTCATTTGCAATGGTTCCAAAAGCAAATCTGGTCGTTTATTATATTCGTGATGATGGAGAAATTATTTCGGATAAATTAAAAATTGAATTAAGTGACGAACTTCAAAATTTTGTGAGTTTGAAAGACGATTTAATATATTTGATATGAAATTTAATGAAAGAAAAATTTAGATCGATATCAAGCTGTCGTCTGATGAAGGGAGACCAGGCGATCAAGTTAGCATCACTGTCAACACGAAGCCGAATTCCTATGTCGGTTTATTAGGAGTTGATCAAAGTGTTTTGCTGTTGAAAAAAGGCAATGATATTGAGAAGTCTGCGGTCTTTGAAGAACTTGAGAGATACAACGAGAAGACAAGATGGAATCGAAGATGGCACGGCGACAACTACGTACACACTGACTTTGAAAGTTCTGGCGCTGTCATCATCACAAATGCCAAGGAAGAAATTCGTGAGTATTTCTGTTGTGTCAACGTTTTAGATTATCGTGACGATCGCGCATCTTATTTGACAAACTTTCACATTTCCAAAGGATTTTTCATTGATTTGAAGATTTAAATTTTTCTTACACTACTGTAGAAGATTACTATTCTGAAGTTGATTTTGAAGATGATCAAGAAGAATACGCTGAAGTCGAGTTAACTCATCGAGTAGATGAAAATGAAATTGAAAAGGAAAAAACCTCACCGATGATGGTTCGGAAAAATTTCCCAGAGTCTTGGATTTGGGACTTGAAGGAATGGTACGAAAACCATCACGTTGGTTGTTTGTCTCTGATCTTTCATTTCTGTTCTTCAAATGACTTGAATTTTATTAGCATGACAATGAACTTCATAACAAATCTTCATCTCTAAAACTTTCTAGAATATTTTCCGCATTTTATTTTGTACGACGCTGCAGGAGGTGGGGAAATTCCTAAAAGTGAACCAAACTTCCGAAAAACTGATATAATGGAATCTTACGATGGTCTTTTAACTGAGGTTCATGTCAGAAAAGATTTTCCAGAAACTTGGATTTATTTTAATTCTCATGATTCTGGGTTAGTTAGTTAACAACTTCCTACATGTGAAACTATTTCGTTGATTTCCTCTTTTGCACATTATTCATTTAATCTTTTATTTGCACGATTTTTGATGTGACACATTTCACTATTTGATCTTAGAAAACAATTTTCCTATCCGACCCATTGCGTTGGCAGTGCAGATGCCTCGACCTCTGTTAGTGTATAAAAGAAAACACGGAATGACTACAAGAAACAATGTAGACGAACCATTTATAAGAACAGTTTTTCCTGAATCGTGGATTTATGAAGACTTTCAAGAGTACGTTAATTTTAAACAAAAAATCTTTAAATACGTCATAAGTTGGTGTGGAAGTTTAGTCATGATTCATCTCAATTCAATTGAAAACATATTTTAAAAAACTAATCTGGGATGTTTTTCAGTGGAAAATGTGTTTACGTGAATGAAATATCATTTAATGAACATTCTAAGAAACTCATTTGTTTTCCATCAATCTTAAATAATTCAAAATTCTTATCGTAACGAAGGTGATCATTTGGTCATTCTTCAGCCATTAGCAATTGAAGCTTTTGGCTTTCCGGGACACGAAGAAATTCAAGATGATCCAATGGTAGCTTACAAAGCCGAAACAGATGATCAACCGGAAATCAGGAAAGAATTTCCTGAATCGTGGATTTTTGACGACATTCAAGAGTATGTTGATGCCATTTGGTATCTTTGACTTAAAGTAGCGGGTTAGATGGCCAAACTTACAATAACTTTCATTATGATTTATAATTTTTGTAATTATTTTTTTTAACTTCTTTTTTCACAACACACAACAAAAGCCAATAAGCTTTACTTGATTTCATCAAACTAAATAATATTTGAACAATTTAGATCGTCCACTTAATGTGTATAAAAATGGAAGACGTGGAATGATGTTTAGAAAGAGTTCTAATAAAGATAAGAACGTTGAAAATGGTTTGGATACTACAGATGGGACTAAACATGAAGAAATTACGATTAGAAAAAACTTTCCGGAGTCTTGGATTTTCAACACTATCAATGGAAATGATTCTGAGTAATTAAAAGAAAAAGAAAATTCAAAATGTACATATTTGTATGTAAAATTTTTGTTGTGGCACATGAATCAAATATTTCTATCATTCATTATTCATTTTCCATATTTCATTGGTCATTTCTACGAATTTTCTTTCGGAATTTCAAACTTTGCATCTCTTTTGTATATTTTACGAGATATTAGATCCCAAAGTTCTGTCAACTTGCTTGCGATGTCAAATATTTTAAATTGCATATGTGCATGTGCCGTGTTAAATATCACATAACATTTCAGGCTACGATCAATACAATCCATCATTAAATGAGATCAAAAATATCGAATCACAATACTCGACCATTCGCACAGACGTTGGTCCACCAAACTTGTTTAAATTTCATACGAAACCCCCATTAGCCGGTCCTTACGCATTTAGTCGCATCCCAAGGCCACGATGGGATCATCCTCGTATTTACTTAAAACACGGCATTGAAAGCACTTGGTTGTTCATGAATTCATTCTCTTCTGGGTATGTAAAGTTTTAATGCTGATTTGGTGGTGACGGTTGTAATGGAAATAACATCTAGACCTACGTAAAATAAGTATGGACATTTTATTTCTTTTGAATTCTAAGGAAAGCTAACCATTCGTAACTAACTTTTATAATGTTAATGAATTATTGATGGATGAGAATATTTATGATAATGATCGCATTTTAAAATTCATGTGCAGCTATGAAGGGACAACGACTTTAAGTAAGAAAGTTCCAGACACCATCACATCGTGGATAATCACGGGATTCTCAGTCGATCCAATTACTGGCCTTGGACTCACCAAACAACCGTCAAAGTTCAACGTTTTTCAACCTTTCTTCGTGTCGACCAACTTGCCATATTCAATCAAACGTGGAGAAGTTGTTGCAATTCCCATCGTTGTCTTCAACTACATGGAAGGCGATCAGAGAGCTGAAGTGACGTTCTTCAATGAAGAGAAAGAATTCGAGTTTGCTGAAGTCAATGATGACGAGAATCAAGTTAAACGCCGAAAGCGAGCGATAGAAACACAAAGAAAGAAGAACATCAATGTGAAATCTCAGAGTGGAACTTCATTGTCATTCATGATTCGTCCATTGAAAGTTGGACACATCACAATCAAAGTTACAGCGAATTCTGCAGTTGCTGGTGATGGTGTCGAGAGACAATTGATTGTCGAGCCTGAGGGAGTCACACAATACAAGAATGAAGCAGTTTTCATTGATCTGAGAAACAATCCCGAGTTCAAGACCAACATTTCAATCACAATTCCACCAAACGCCGTTCCAGACTCAACGAGAATCGAAGCTTCAGCCATCGGTGACATTTTGGGACCATCGATTGATAACTTGGATAAGTTGATGTAAGATTCACTTCTCTTGATGTTCATGGAGTTGAAATTAATTCGTTTTATTCCACAGAAAACTTCCTTACGGTTGTGGCGAACAGAACATGTTGAACTTTGTGCCAAACATTGTCGTCTTAGACTATCTGACGACACTCAACAAACTCACACCAGAAATCGAATCGAAAGCTAAGAAATATATGGAATCTGGTTATCAACGTGAGTTAGGCTATAAACATGACGATGGGTCGTACAGCGCATTTGGGAAGAGCGACGATAGTGGCAGCACGTGGTTGACAGCTTTCGTCGCGAAATCCTTCCATCAAGCTTCCAAATACATCATGGTAGAAGAAAGCATTATCAAACAAGCTTTAGACTTCCTTGTGAGTATCCAAGCACAAAATGGAAGTTTTCCAGAAGTTGGTCACGTTTCACACAAAGATATGCAAGGCGGATCATCGAAAGGCATCGCATTGACAGCTTACACTTTGATCACTTTCCTTGAAAACGATAAATTGTCGAAGGAATATCAAGAAACAATCGACAAAGCTCTAAATTATGTTTTTCATAACTTAAATAATCTCGATGATAGTTATTCACTTGCGATTGCTGCCTACGCACTTCAGTTAGCTAAACATAGTGGAAAAGATTCTTTGCTTTCGAAACTTGAACAGACAGCAGTGAATGAAAATGGCATGAAATACTGGGAGAAATCACCTCCAGAGGAAAACGAGAAGAAATTGTGGTATCACCGACCAAGCACTGTTAATGTTGAAATGTCGGCTTATGCACTTCAAGCTTTTGTTGAGGCTGGAAGAGAGACTGACGCTTTCCCTGTTATGAAATGGCTTGTTACACAACGTAATGAAAACGGAGGATTCCAATCGACACAAGACACCGTCGTTGGTCTTCAAGCTCTATCAAAACTTGGTACTAAAGTTTACGATCCTATCATTCAATGTGATATTACAGTGAAATATCACAATGGAGAGAAGATGTTAAATATTAATGAGAAAACTGCTTTGATTCTTCAGAAATATGAACTGTCATCAGATGCTAGAAATTTCGAAGTTACTGCTAAAGGCAAAGGCGTAAATATTCTTCAATTATCATACAAATACAACATGAACGAGAATGATGAAAAACCTCGTTTTGTGTTGGAACCTGAAGTTGAAAGCATTTCCAATAAAGAGTTTTTGCAACTCAAAGTCTGCACAAATTTTGTTCCTGACGAATCATCAGAAAAGTCAAATATGGCTGTAATGGAAGTTTCATTGCCTAGTGGCTTTACTTACGACACTGACGCTTTTCCCGAACTACTTTCAACTCGTAATGTCAAGGTAAAACTTGTTTTCTCTAAATTTTAGACTNCAGTCGTGCACTCCCTACTAGATAGATAGATAGATAGATAGAAGTGTTTATTATTACCAGTATTGGTACTTTTCTTTGATTACAATATGATATTTAATTTCATTTGCTGAAAATATAATTTTTAAAATTTTTCAATTTCATTTTAAAGACTTCGCAGTCTTTATCCCAAACAGCATGATTCACGTTGAAATCTAGTTTTAATTTCTCGTTGGCATCTAAACAGTTAATGCATTTTGATTCCTTCCCGTGTATTTTATCATCATGTTTTGTTAGTGAGTGATTTTTGGAACATTTGGGGCAACATTCTTCAGATTCTTTGCAAACAGAAGCTCTATGACCATATCGACTGCATTTGTAGCATCTCATTGGGGATAATCCATCAACAACATTACAACGACTCCAGCAGATATTGATTTTCTTGGCTTCTATTAACTTATGATAAGTTTCTATATCACAGTCGACCCATATGTTCTTCAAGTTTGCATCTTTTTTGTTTGGACTCACTTTTTTCACACTAATGGAATTTTTATCAGAAATTAGTGACAGATTTTGTGCGCGTATCAACTCCTCCAATTTTTGATAACTGAGATTTTTATCATCATACAATCCGAATATTTTCAATGTTGGTTTTTTTGTCTCATTTATTTCGACATTAAAATTGCTTCCTAATTTTTTTTTGATTTCAGTTTCAATTTTATTTTCATCATCTAATTTGCACTTGAATGTAACTCCACCGGTTGATGTTGATCTCATATCGCTCGCTTGGAATTCACGTGGATCGATTGAATTTCTCACTTTTTCTAAAGTATTGCTATTTTTGCTGTTTCTTCCATTCTTGACATTTATCTTAACGACCTTGGCGTATGACATCTGTGTTGTAGAATTATTCTCTCCTTTTGTTTTAAATTCTTTATCTTCAATTTTGTTTTCGATCTTCTCAATTTTTGTTAACAACTCATTTAATTTTTGATTTATTTCATCCTTGATAGTTTCCATATTTGGTTTAGATTCAACTTTAGCTTCTCTGCATGATTCGCAAACAAAAAATAGATTATTATTTGTCACTGCCATTACAACCATATCAGGCATGAAAAAATGTTTCGCTTTGCCATGAGGATAAGAGATATAACATTTGATGTGTTTATTCTCTCCACAGAAAAGACAATCAATTCCCTCTTTGTTATTGTAAATTTGCTCACAATTGTCACATTTATGAGGCATTCTGGTAAAATTTTAATTCACAATTTTTCATTGGATATATCTTAAAAATCCTTTAGAATTCAGTTTATTATGATGCTTTAATGTCTTATACTTCGTTATTTTCAAACTGTGGACTTTTATTTAACTTTCTTCAATCAATTCGATTTTAATTTTTCAGAAACAACTCTTCACCATTCAAGCGCTCTCTCTCTCTTGTGTATTTATGACGGTGCAATGCGTCCAACCATAAGGAATCTATTCCTTATCCTTATAATTACGATTATGATATGTACGATACAGATCGAATGGGAAGAACCTCGATCGCAGACGGATCCGGTGGACAGGATATGTCGTATTCTGCTCCTGTCGTACCGCAAACTTGGTTGTTTGACAGCATAAACTTTGACGCAAAGTAAGTTGAAATCTTTTACTTTTAATTTTTGAATTTCTTCCATTTTTCCCTATTATATTGAAGCACGCATAATGCAACAATTTCGAAGAAAGTTCCCGACACAATCACATCGTGGATAATCACGGGATTCTCAGTCGATCCAATTACTGGCCTTGGACTCACCAAACAACCGTCAAAGTTCAACGTTTTTCAACCTTTCTTCGTGTCGACCAACTTGCCATATTCAATCAAACGTGGAGAAGTTGTTGCAATTCCCATCGTTGTCTTCAACTACATGGAAGCCGATCAGAGAGCTGAAGTGACGTTCTTCAATGAAGAAAAAGAATTCGAGTTTGCTGAAGTCAATGATGACGAGAATCAAATCAAAGTTCGGAAGCGAGCGATAGAAACACAAAGAAAGAAGAATATCATCGTGAAATCTCAGAGTGGAACTTCATTGTCATTCATGATTCGTCCATTGAAAGTCGGACACATCACAATCAAAGTTACAGCGAATTCTGCAGTTGCTGGTGATGGTGTCGAGAGACAATTGATTGTCGAGCCTGAGGGAGTCACACAATACAAGAATGAAGCAGTTTTCATTGATCTGAGAAACAATCCCGAGTTCAAGACCAACATTTCAATCACAATTCCACCAAACGCCGTTCCAGACTCAACGAGAATCGAAGCTTCAGCCATCGGTGACATTTTGGGACCATCGATTGATAACTTGGATAAGTTGATGTAAGATTCACTTCTCTTGATGTTCATGGAGTTGAAATTAATTCGTTTTATTCCACAGAAAACTTCCTTACGGTTGTGGCGAACAGAACATGTTGAACTTTGTGCCAAACATTGTCGTCTTAGACTATCTGACGACACTCAACAAACTCACACCAGAAATCGAATCGAAAGCTAAGAAATATATGGAATCTGGTTATCAACGTGAGTTAGGCTATAAACATGACGATGGGTCGTACAGCGCATTTGGGAAGAGCGACGATAGTGGCAGCACGTGGTTGACAGCTTTCGTCGCCAAATCCTTCCATCAAGCTTCCAAATACATCATGGTTGAAGAAAGCATTATCAAACAAGCTTTAGACTTCCTTGTGAGTATCCAAGCACAAAATGGAAGTTTTCCAGAAGTTGGTCACGTTTCACACAAAGATATGCAAGGCGGATCATCGAAAGGCATCGCATTGACAGCTTACACATTGATAACTTTCCTCGAAAACAAGCAACAGCTTCCAAATTATCAAAATGCGGTTAACAAAGCTTTAGATTTTCTCGTCAGAAGTTTCAATACACTCGATGATAGTTATTCACTTGCAATTGCGGCCTATGCACTTCAATTAGCTAAATACAGTTCCAAGGATGCTTTCCTTTCAAAGATCGATACAAAATCTGAAAACAAAAATGGCATGAAATATTGGGAAAAACCAGTTCCATTGTCAGATGAGAAAAATCCTTGGAACTCCCAACCAAACTCAATAAATATTGAAATGTCAGCTTATGCACTTCAAGCTTTTATCGAGAGTGGTCTTGTAAGTGATGCAGTTCCTATTATGAAATGGCTTGTGACACAACGTAATGAAAATGGAGGATTCCAATCGACACAAGACACTGTCGTTGGTCTCCAAGCTCTATCAAAACTTGCAGCAAGAATTTTTGTGCCTAATAGTAAGATTGACATTTCAATGAAGTATACAGACGCAGCTGCAGCTAATTTGAATGTCAACAGTGATAATTCTTTAATACTTCAAAAGTATGAACTTCCATCAACTGTTCGAGATATTGAAGTCACTGCTAATGGACGCGGATTTGGAATTCTTCAATTATCGTATCAATATAACATGAACGTGACTGGTGCATGGCCACGTTTCGTTTTAGATCCACAAGTCAATCGACTCTCTACGAAAGATTTCTTGCATCTCACAGTTTGCACCAGTTTCGTTCCTGATGATAAAAATGAGAAGTCAAACATGGCTGTCATGGAAGTTTCATTTCCCAGTGGATACACATTTGACTCAGATACGATTCCTTTCATAAGGGACATAAAAAATGTTAAAGTAAGTTAATTTATGTTGACAAATTGAAACACTTTTAAACAAATTTATTTATTTATATAGAGAGTTGAAACCAAAGCTGGTGACACAGTTGTTGTAGTTTACTTTGACGACATTGATAAGAGAGAACTTTGTCCCGTTTTCAAAGCATATCGAACGCATAAAGTTGCTAAGCAAAAGCCGGCGCCTGTCATCATCTATGACTATTATGATAACTGTGAGTATTTGAAAACATTATCAAAAGTTTTAATTGATATTTAATTTTTTATTCACGATGTTAGCACGTCGAGCAACTCAATTCTACAGAGCTAAGAAAGCTGATCTCTGCGACATTTGTGAAGGAGACGACTGCGGCGAAACTTGTAGAGTTCAAGCTGAAAAGCGCATCTCAGAACGTTCTCAAAAGAGTGTAGTTGATCCTTTTGCACAGACAACTGAAACTAAAGGTCAAGCTAACAAAATTTCTAGTCCATTGACCGTCTTTATCGTATTTGCCATAACAAAACTTATGAATCTCTTCTAAATAAAATCTAATTAAGAATGAAATTTTTTTAATAAATAAAAAATGTTTAACGATTAATGATTGTAAAGAAAGTTTTAATAAATTGAAAGTCTACATTTTATTTTGTTATCTTTGACTATTCCCAATATTTTGTTGCAGATTAAATCCNAAAATGATTTTTGCAAATTACAGAAAGTTGAAACTAAGGACGGAGAAACAATGATTGTCGTATATTTTGATGATTTAAGTAAAGAAAAGGTTTGCCCACAGTTTAAAGCTTATCGCACTCATAGCGTGGCCAAACAAAAGCCGGCTCCTATCATCATTTACGATTATTACGACAATTGTGAGTTAAATAGAATTTTATTTGTTTTTCCAAATTACTCATGATCATTTTTTATTCAAAGCTCGTCGTGCTACTAGTTTCTATAATCCTCCAGAAATATCATTGTGTGATATTTGTGATGGTGCTGAAGAATGCAAAGAGGACTGCGAACATCAAGAAATCAATGTTGTTTGAAATTAGTTTGTGGATTTTAAATACTTAAATGTTTCCAAGAAAATATCTTTCATGATTGTTTTTTTAGTTCGCCACAAGTTTTGTGTATAAATTTATATTAAATAAAAAGAAATTAATTGAATTTATTAAATTTAAATTCTGGAACTCCTTAAACTCGATTGATCGTTTTATCTTTTTTGATATTTTTGGGTACTTGCCTTCTCTTTTATTTTAATTTCGCATAATTTTTTATTATTGACATTTACATAAGGACTTGAAAGTACTTGAAACGCTTTCCCTTAATAACTCCTTAATTACACTTACACATTTTTAATTAATTGAGATATTTCCGAGATATTCTTGAAATCTTCTGTTTGAACGGTTCTCAGATTGTAAAGAAAGTTTTAATAAATTAAAAGTCTACATTTTATTTTGTTATCTTTGACTATTCCCAATATTTTGTTGCAGATTAAATCCTTGAACATTTTTCGATGTTTACTTTCTGAATTATCAACGCGACGTATGCGGTAATTAGTCATCTCGTAATTGATGTTATGAAATCAAATTATAAGAGATAATCTCGTTTGGGAAGTTTCTTGACTGTTTTTGTTTATATTCATCTGTGATTTTATTTTTCACTTTACAAATTGTTTGAATCATTCTCGTTCTGAAAAATATTGTCACTGAATTTATAAACAAAAATATTGAATGATGTCGGGAAGAAAAACAAAAAATCCCGAGATAGCAATTAGATTTCTTCTATATTAAGAGAAGTTTTGAGAGACTTCATTCATTTGAGTTCCGATTTTTGTTGGAACAAGTTAAACTTTAACCGAGTGTTGAAATATTTTCTTCTTGTTTGGATCAAGATGAAGTTCAAAGTAATAAAATTATTAGTGATTGCATTATTATTGGAGTTGAGTGAAGGAAAAGGGTGAGTTGAAGACACTTCATTAGTCAGGCTATGATTTCCTAATCTATTATTAACCACTTAGCACCTTCACATTAATTGCACCGAAGACGATAAGAACAAGCAAAGATTATCGGGTTTCTGTCACCTCTCAAGGTTATGACCAAGGTTATGACAATCCCGAAATTTTGGAAGTTTCTATCGTAAACACAGAACTGGATCCTTTCTCTTCTGGCGGTGATCATGATGATTTTCCATACAAAGAGTTTAGAATGGCAAAAAATGTTACATTGGGCAATGGAGGCACAGAGTTCGTGACGTTTGACGTAAGAATATTAAGAAATGAAATGAATGCGATGAATTTTAAAACATTTTCTGATATTTTCATGAACAGTTAAAAGATCTTCCTCAAGGATATTATTCTCTCGAAACGAGAACTTTTTCCGAAATTGGCTTTTACGGATTTCGAGCATTACACATGAATACAAAGAATCAGACAGTTTTCGTGCAAACTGATAAATCAATCTACAAACCCGCTGATAAGGTGCAATTTCGTGTGCTTGTTTTGGATGGTGATATGAAGCCATTGATGGGAGTAGGAAAAGTTCAAGTTCAAATCAACGATGGAGCGAAAAACCGAGTAAAGCAGTTTGATGACATAACATTGATTAAGGGAGTGTATCAAAATGAGCTNCTTGACTGTTCTGTGATTTTATTTTTCACTTTACAAATTGTTTCTGAAAAATATTTATAAACAAAAATATTAAATGATGTCGGGAAGAAAAAGAAAAAGTCCTGAGACAGCAATAAAATTTCTTCTATATTAAGAGAAGTTTTGAGAGGGTCTCATTCATTTGAGTTCCGATTTTTGTTGGAACAAGTTAAACTTTAACCGAGTGTTGAAATATTTTCTTCTTGCTTAAATCAAGATGAAGTTCAAAGTAATAAAATTATTAGTGATTGCATTATTGTTGGGGTTGAGTGAGGGAAAAGGGTGAGTTGAAGGCACTTCATTAGTCAGGCTATGATTTCCTAATCTATTATTAACCACTTAGCACCTTCACATTAATTGCACCGAAGACGATAAGAACAAACAAAGATTATCGGGTTTCTGTCACCTCTCAAGGTTATGACAATCCCGAAATTTTGGAAGTTGGTATCAAAAGCACGGAGAAGAGAAATGATTCCTATTCTGGTGGTTCTGATGATTATTCATATTCAGGTGGAGATGAAGAGTTTAAAATGGTAAAAAATGTTACATTGAGTAATGGAAGCACAGAATTCGTGACATTTGATGTAAGAATATTAAGAAATGAAATGAATGCGATGAATTTTAAAACATTTTCTGATATTTTCATGAATAGTTAAAAGATCTTCCTCAAGGATATTATTCTCTTAAAGCGAGAACTTTTGCCGAGACATATTTTTTCTTTTTCCGAGCATTACATATGAATACAAAGAATCAGACAGTTTTTGTGCAAACTGATAAATCAATCTACAAACCCGCTGATAAGGTGCAATTTCGTGTGCTTGTTTTGGATGGTGATATGAAGCCATTGATGGGAGTAGGAAAAGTTCAAGTTCAAATCAACGATGGAGCAAAAAACCGAGTGAAGCAATTTGATGACATAACATTGATTAAGGGAGTGTATCAAAATGAGCTTCAACTTTCGGACATGCCAGTCATGGGTAAATGGAATATTCAAGTGAACATAAATGGAAAAAGTGAGAAAGTCAAAACATTTGAAGTTGCTGAGTACACTTTGCCTAAATTTGAAGTTACAATCGATTCAAATCCTGATGTAAGCTTTAAAGATGGAAAGATTCGAGCAACAGTCAAAGCCAAATATACTTTTGGTAAAATTGCCAAAGGGAATGCCACAGTTACTGCTGAAGTAACATATACCAGACGTCGGCGTTCAGGGGACCATAGAAGAACACCAGTAACTGAAGCAAGTAGACCAATCATGAAAACTGTTGAAGTCGATGGCAAGAAATCTGTGGAATTTGACATTGAGAAGGAATTAAACATCGCTGATCATTCTTATGAAAGATCCGTCAAACTTTTTGCAACATTCAAAGAAGAGTTGAGTGACCGAGAAGCAAATGCCACAACAACGGTTAAGATTCACCCAACCCCACATTACATCGAACTTAAAAAAAGTGATGATGAATTCAAGCCTGGTCTTCCATTTACGGCTACTGCAATTGTCAAATATCACGATAAAGGTGCTCCAGTTGATGACAAATATAACCCAGTTGTGTTCACAATTAAATATTCTTACGACGTTATAAAAACTTGTGAAAGGCCACATCGAAGGTATTACGATTATGCTTATCAACGGGAGTCTCTCAGTTCAACGACAGACGAAACTACTAAAGAAACTTATAAGTGCCGTGAAAGTCATTCATATAACAACACAAAAGAAGTTTTCTTATCAGGAGGAATTGCTAAATTAAATATCGAAAACTTAACAACAAACACATCATCAATCAGTATCAAGGCTGAATATTTAGAAACTTCAAAAGATTCGTATAGCATTCGTCGAGCCGATTCTTCAGATAATCGATTCATACAAATCAGAGCAATCAATGAAAAGT